ACATGTGAGATGGTTATACGTAAATCAAAATAAAAACACAACACACTGATGATGCCTGCAGATATAGACTGCCTCAGGTCTGAACGTGACAAAAACACAACACACCGATAAAGCCTGCAGATATAGACTGCCTGAGGTCTGAACGTGACAAAAAAAACAATGATCACATCTACTAATGCAGAAAGTAGATCACATATTGGATTAAGACTTTTGGCATTTATAGCATATATATTACCCTTGTCTCTTGCATGAATAAAAAAAATGTTAACATACACTAGCACAACAGAATACACAAGATTCTAATGAGTATATTCTTAGTTTGAAATGGAACCCTGTTTTCTTGGAAAAGATGATTCCAAAGCTCATCTAAATGACAGTGAAAATATGCAGCTGACAAAAAAAAAAAAACTCTGTCATGATACAGATACTTAAAACAAACGTGTTTGTAACTGACTTATTTTCTCAATGTTTACATATCAGAACAGCTAGTTTGATAATTATTTTTCAATAAGTAAGTGGGCATTATTACTGTCTTTCAATTTTGGATACAGACAAGGTTTGAATTTCATAAATAACTATGCTGACTATGAATATCTATCACTTTATTCAAGCATGTCATAGAATAGATATCTTGCATAAATTGATTTTATACATAAAATTCATAAGTTGAATAAAAATCAAAACAAACAATATATCTTACAAATGTTCAGCTTTTTCTATCCAGAGTCATTATATAACATGATTGCCAGCAAACTATTGCCAAAGAGTTTGGAAAGATGTCACATACTCCACTTGATAGTCCTTCAGCTTGTGCAGTTGTGATTGACACAATTGAAAACTGTCAAATTTACAAAAATATCCTGCAAAGACCCAGACCTCGAGAGTAAAATTATGAAAAGCAAACTTCTGTAAATATTGATTTTTATTATTCTGATTCTAACTTCACCCCTGATCTAAAAATAGCCCACAGAATTACCCTTTCAATAATTGATTGAAATTAAATATTTTTCACTTAGTGTCACATCTTGTATCTTTGGTGATATTATCATGGTCTCATGACCCTTCCAGCTTCTCATATTCGTTAATTTGTGTTTTTATCACTGAGAGGTTTGATGGTCTTGTATTTACCTAAAACCACTTAGCATTTCGTTCCTTAATTTCTGATAAACAGTAAAGAAAAATATACAGGGACACCACTTTAATCCGATCATCCTCTCTCAGCATAATGATGGATCTTGTGATTTCCTTCAAGCTTTTGGCACAAAATGTCTCATTCACCTCCACCAAAAATGAAGCAAAAATAGATAAAAAGGAAAAAATATAGGAAAATTATAAAAATAATAATAACGATAGTTTTAAAAATGAGGTTTAGATATATTGACGGTGTTAACAGAATGAATAATATATATATTACATGAGCAATACAAGATATGAAAATGTAACAATTTATAAAAACAGAACTGTTAAAAAGAAAAATATATATGAAAATAAATATTAAAAAATTAAAATATCAGAAATTATCACAAAAAAAAACAGATGAAATAGCACATAAATGAATATCCGTATACATGTACCCTCTCATTAGAAAATGTGAATATCAAATTAATTAACATATTACGATACTAAGTACTGGAAATATATCTACTAGAATATCAGAATTAGAAAACATAACTGGGTCAAAATATCTAAACTATTTGAGTCTGCCATTTTTTTCATTACATGGTTTTATCCTTACTGGCGCTTTATCACTTCAAAACTCTCAAAACTGGCATAGTCTGAAGAGCACATTACCAGAACAGTGATGTTTGTTGGTGAGACAATGCCTAAAGATAGGAAAGGTCACAGAGACAAAAAACTGAAACCAACAAATGAGCTGTTTGCACAACAAATTAAAATGCAATACTGCTGAGTTACCTCCCCTGATAGTGAAATTTCATGTACAAATTACACAAATTAAAACACAATACTACTGAGTTACCTCCCCTGATAGTGAAATTTCATATACAAATTACACAAATGAATTAACTTCTACTTCACATAAAAAACAATACAACGTTGTGATCACTTTAAAAGTAATCATTTAAATATTTATCCTGATATTTAATTCACAAAGAATGCAGGATTCAGTATCTCCACATTATATATACCTACATAAGGTATATATACTCACAACGTAAAGGAAACCCTTATTCTACACTGGAAATGTCCATTTATAATAAAACAAAGGAACCTTTTCCTCCCAATAAAACCCATCAAGTAAGATTCGCTCAAATTTACAGAATATTTTCAAATGACTGATTTACAAGATACATTCATCCAGTTTGGAGAAACTGCCCTCAAACAAAAGGTTGTGACAATTTTATCATTTCACTGGCCTTGTAATGTTTTCTGCTGAAATAATTTAAAAACTAACAAAATCTGAAATATTAATAACTTTGATAAAACAAGGAGTAACAAAATAAAAAAGGAGCGGTATAAACATTGGTTTCCTTAAATCTAAAACTATCAAACACTTATCTAGTGATTCTTTGGTGACACTATAACAATATGGTTTTCAAATTTCACTCGTTTCAATGAATCTTGAACTATGGTATGTCTGGAAATATTACTGGCAACTGACTTGAATAATATCTATTTTTACTAAACCTGACTAATTACTGTCCCCTGATCATACATACACCAAACTTTATAGACACCTGACTTATCTGACATCTAACTAATCTGACACATCTGACACTTGACTAATCTGACACCTGACTTCATAATGACACCTGACTTCATAATGACACCTGACTTTACAGACACCTGACTTTACAGACACCTGACTTCATATTGACACCTGACTTTACAGCCTGACTTTACAGACACCTGACTTTACAGACACCTGACTTTACAGACACCTGACTTTACAGACACATGACTTTACAGACACATGACTTTACAGACACCTGACTTTACAGACACCTGACTTTACAGACACCTGACTTTACAGACACATGACTTTACAGACACCTGACTTTACAGACATCTGACTTTACAGACACATGGCTTTACAGACACCTGACTTTATAGACAGATGACTTTACAGACACCTGACTTTACAGACACATGGCTTTACAGACACCTGACTTTACAGACACCTGACTTTACAGACACATGACTTTACAGACACCTGACTTCATATTGACACCTGACTTTACAGACACCTGACTTTACACAGACACCTGACTTTACAGACACATGGCTTTACAGACACCTGACTTTACAGACAGATGACTTTACAGACACCTGACTTTACAGACACCTGACTTTACAGACACATGACTTTACAGACACCTGACTTCATATTGACACCTGACTTTACAGACACCTGACTTTACACAGACACCTGACTTTACAGACACATGGCTTTACAGACACCTGACTTTATAGACAGTTGACTTTACAGACACATGGCTTTACAAACACATGACTTTACAGCAGTCACCTGACTTTACAGACACCTGACTTTATAGACACCTAACTTCATAATGACACCTGACTTTACAGACAGATGACTTTACAGACACCTGACTTTACAGACACATGACTTTACAGACACATGACTTTACAGACAGATGACTTTACAGACAGATGACTTTACAGACACCTGACTTTACAGACACCTGACTTTACAGACACCTGACTTTACAGACACCTAACTTCATAATGACACCTGACTTTACAGACACCTGACTTTACAGACACCTGACTTCATAATGACACCTGACTTTACAGATACCTGACTTTACAGACACCTGACTTTACAGATACCTAACTTCATAATGACACCTGACTTTACAGACACCTGACTTTACAGACACCTGACTTTACAGACACCTAACTTCATAATGACACCTGACTTTACAGACACCTGACTTTACAGACACATGACTTTACAGACACCTGACTTTACAGACACCTGACTTCATAATGACACCTGACTTTACAGACACCTGACTTTACAGACACCTGACTTCATAATGACACCTGACTTTACAGACACCTGACTTCATAATGACACCTGACTTTACAGACACCTGACTTAACTGATATTTTACTATTTATTGTTATGTAATTTTACTGAACACATGACTTTAGAGGTATCTGATATTTGTATTGACACCTGACTACACTGATATCTGACTTTACAGACACCTGACTACACTGATATCTGACTTTACAGACACCTGACTACACTGATATCTGACTTTACAGACACCTGACTACACTGATATCTGACTTTATATTGATGTGTGTTTCTATATAATTTGATGGTTAATATAATGAAAACCACCAGAGGATGAATTAAAAGAGGCATAAAATTGTAAGAAATGTAAAAAAAAAAAAAAAGAAAAAAAAAGAAAATCCAAAATCAAATAAATGGCAATATTACTAGATCTAAACTAATACATGAATAATGAATATTCATGAACCTCATTAACATATTGTGATTTTGTCTACTCATTTGAAGATAGTCTACTTGATTCAAACTTCTATGTTTGTTTTCTTACAATATGGAAATCCTACAATTGCTTATTTAAATTCCTACAATAATTCTAGAGGATTTCATGTAGTATGTTAAGTACAAGATAATATCAATTCTGTATCATTGTTAAACAAACAAAAATAACTAATAACATATATTTGCATGATTAATTAGATGACTTAATTAATTGATGAAATATTCATGGCATACATGTATAAGTATCAATTCAATCTGTACAGGTTTAAGTCCTATCAAGAAATGAATATACATGTGTTTCTTGAATTATTCCTGTTTCAAGCTTTGAATTAAAGATGAGTTATATTTTCCCCTTTGCAAGCATTTCACCGATATAGAACTTTGTGACGTCAATATCAAACGAGTCATCATGTTATTTGAAAGAGAAAGTCTTTTGTCCAGTTTCAGATCTGCATGATAGAAAATCATTAGCCTCCAACGACAGACCACTTTCATGTCAGACTTTGTAAATTTGATTACTGAGGACTGTTTCTAATTTTTTCTGGATCCATTTCAGAATGTCAATTTCTAGACTGGTGATCTCAACATTGTTGTCACTGAAAAGGGAGCCTGTGTTATCCTGAAATAGAAAAATGTTAAGCAAAATGTTTTACAATGCCATACGAAATTTCAGAAAACAGCACACTTTTACCACTAACCCCCCCCCTTTTTTCTATTCATTTTCCAGTTAAATTGAAAACAATTGAAACACCATTTGAATTCAATTTACATATTTCAGAATTGTTGAGAATAATTTAATCAATTCTGTAGTATCATATCATTAACTGACCATTGTACCACATTGTACTTTTCTGTCTTTTAATAACTGACCAATCAGAATGACTGTATCATCTTACCTTAAGTGTATCACTAACTTGTGACCAATCAGAATGACTGTACCATCTTACCTTTAAGTGAATCACCAACTTCTTTTCATCTTCTATCAGAGCTGGAACTCCCAGAATGCTCTTCAACTCCACTTCCCATTCCACATCATAACCACCAGAGAAGCGACACTTCTCTAGATATAAGATATGTCTACAAAATAACAGAGGAATACCTATATATAAAAAACAGTGAAGTAACTGGTAAAAATCAATTCTTGTTGAATAAAGCCCTGACAGGATTCGAACCTGGGTCTCTGATATGATCACCAAAGGCTCTTAAAACAACTGAGCTAAAGATTCTACCTGTTGAGTGGCATACATATGTTTTTCTTCTGATTTTCTTAATCGATGATGATGATGATGATGGAGGTTTTTCGTCTCCGCGACTCTGCCCGTTGCCGGGCGGAGTCCAATCGGCATATGCCGATTCTCTGGCAACGTTTTTTCTTAATCTCAGCCCAAGACTCTATATAGCACAGCACAAGGGATTTTGTACCAAAGGTCTCTAGTACGGTATGTCACGTTGACTCAACGACTGAACCAAACAAGCGTGCTGAGTGACAGAAACAATTTCCGACCCTAAAGCGTTAAATCACAATTAACTGCTCTCTTTAAAACCCAAATTAAAATCAGGTGCATTTTTACAAAGAATTTGGTTCAATATATTATAAGCCTTCCATTGTTCAAAATTTCTAACCATTTGAAGGAATATTATGAATTTAAAATTTGATTCGACAAACATTTCAGCCCTGCTATATTCCCTAAGTATTTTCACATGGTGTCCCCCAAGAATTTTCCCTTGGGATCACACCCAGCATTGTTGATGTATACATACCTGTTTGTAATGAAAACTAAATCTGCTTTATCCTCATGACTTAGGGGAGCGAAGTTTCTGAACACGTCTGTCTTGGAGTACTTGCCTCCCTTTATCCCCTTAAGTATGTGGCTCCCTCTAGCCCGGTATTCAGAGTAAGGTTTTAGACCCTGCATCAGAAAAGTATTCCGTTTTATGACAAAAAGAAAATTTGAAAATACATTGGTCACTAAAATCGGACTTTGTAACTCTGGTCAACATTTCTTGTTGTTTCAGTGTGGAGTCTAAACAAAGTTACAATGAGAGGAGAGTATACATTTCTACCCTTCTCCACATTAAATGGCGCTGATAAAAAACTCCAATCCTGTAATACACAAAGCATAATTTTAAACCCAATTTTATAAACTTTTTGAAAGTTTGACTACTTAGAGAAAAAAATATAAAGGTAAACACTTTATCTACAATAGTGAAACAAGCTCTTGGCTTATATTACTCACTCTTGTTGGCAAAGATGGAAGCGCACAAGGGGGTCTTCATGTGGGAGAAAACCAGGGGAAAAAACCATGATTAAGTAGGTGACCTCATACCTTATCATGTCTGCTGCGAGAATCGAATCCTGGATCTCTAGGTGGAAGGCGAGTGCGTTAACGCTGTGCCATCAAATTTTTTAGAAATCCTTTTCAAACTTTTTAAATCTAAAATCTGACTTTGCTCCTGCATCATGTTTTTCATTATAGATCTTACCCTATGGTTGTCTATACATCTGGGGAGTCTCATTCTCATTACAACACCACCCTCCAGCTCTGCTGCCCTAAAACATACAGAAAATATCAAAATCACTCTTAACATGAAAATACCTCTTCTAACAAAAGCCTTCATGAAAGTATTCATGAGGGCCATTCCTAATAACTTTGCAATAATGATAAAATCCTCATTATGATACAGGTTACAGTTAATCTTGTGGGCCAATATTGAAACAAGTTAGGGAGAATGATATACATCTGGAACCAAAAAGTTTGAAATAATTTTTCAATATTTCTTCTGAGGCCCAGTTAGAGGCACTGTAGCGAGAGTGGTGTGTAGTGTGTATTGTTAATGTGGGTAAACACTGTACTTCACCATACCCAGAGAAAACTCAATGGCATACAACCCAAATAATCTGAAAATCAAACAGTGGTTGCGATGGTAAAAAGTGAGTGCTGTATCAGCTACCAAACCTGACCTCAAAGCATAAATTGTCAATACTTGAGAAGAATAGAAAATTTGGGGGATACATCTTGGATGGTATCCTTACATATGACAAACACTATGGATGTTAACATGGAGATATGACAAGAAAAAAAAGCCTGTTATGTTTACCTTCGCACACCATCGAAAGCTAGGCTGACCATGTCCAGTACACCTCCGATAGGCTGTGTAATTAGGCCAAGTATTCCACGCCCTATTCCTTTGAAGAAACCTTCCACACCATCCTCTGATGCACCTGGCGAGAAGGATAAGGAGAAATATACACAATAATTATCACAGGCCACAAGGTTTTTAAGTTGTTTTAAAAATTCATATCTTGTAATACATGCAATGACATTTAATATCATAAGACATAATAAACTGAAAAGTTGGTGGATTGTTAATTACCTTCTTATAATCATAACATTAAAGTATAAAAAAATAACAGAGTTGTCTCCCATAATTTAAAATTGATTAATCTGTCAACACAAAATTTATAATTGTATGTATGTTATGTAAGGTTTGTAAATGTTTCATGTATGTATGTATGTTGTATGTATGTATGTATGTATGTATGTATGTATGTATGTATGTATGTTTGTATGTATGTATGTATGTATGTATGTATGTATGTATGTATGTATGTATATTTGTTTGTTGTGTCTTATTAATGTCTGTATTATGTATGTATGTCTGACAACTTTAGCTGGCTGTCTGTCATCCTGTATGTATGTATTATGTATGTATGTATGTATGTGTGTGTGTGTGTGTATGTATGTAATGTATGTATGTATGTATGTATGTATGTATGTATGTATGTATGTATGTATGTATGTATGTATGTATGTTTGTTTATGGTGTATTATGTTTATGTCTTACAACTTTAGCTGGCTGTCTAATCCTATTGATTGTTTAAATATTCTGAATGTGATTCAGACAAAGTTTTGAGTTGGAGGATGATCAAACCTAGCATTCATTGTTTACTTGTTCATTTCCATCTGTCAAAAGATGAGTTACTCTTTAAACAGTGTTTTATCTCTTGCTCAAATAGATGAAAAAGTTTCTCAAAAGGAAGGAGCCAACATCAGGTATAGATAAGTGGGTAACAAGTGGGGTACTTTGTTGTGAGTATGGAAACCTAATATTGCAATTAATTTCCTCTTCATACATAATCAGTGATGTATTTTTTCGTGGAAGTTATGAAATATTTCTTTAAAAATATCATTGTTATTGTGAAAATAGCACACAATAATCCCTCGAAAATAAGGGCTTTGACAATGGATTATCAAGGTTAGAGGTAAAAGGTTTAGGTCATTTTGAGGCATGCGACTAAACTGTTTGTCTTCAGAATTTTGAGAAAACTGAATAAAGCATTCTGTAAAAGACTGTACAGTAATTAGGCTTGCACAACTTGTTACTAGATTGTGACAAGATAAATCGAAATGACTTTCAGAGCCAGACATCAAATGTGAATTTTGGCCACATAACATGGCACATCCAAGGTCGATGAATTTTTATTGTTAGGGGCTGTTCTGCTTCACAATGCTGTTGTCAGACTTTCAAATCATTTAATATCAAACTCACAACAGGAGATGTATTGTAAAAATTAACCAGATATGTTCATTTTAATAGAAATAGCTACATGCAGGGTCTCGATGAATTTTAGGAAATTTCAGAAATATGAATGGAAGGGTTGAAAAGAGCTTCAAAGTTGTAAGGAATACACTACAAGAGTTAAAGGGAGATAACTTGTAATCACTTTAAAACTGACAAACACTACCTTGATAGGGATCCAGCACGATTCCAGTCAGGCCATATTTGATCCCTGTTAGGAAGCCTTTTCCTGCCATAGCCATGCTATGAGGTAAATCTGCTGGCTGCTGTTGCATTCGCCGTCTGCGTTTCTACACGATACAAATTGAAATAAAAGTCATGGTGAAGAAATCAGCCTTTCTATGTGGGGAAACAATTAAAAAACTAAGAGTATCACTCGGTGGTACAAACTACATGCTCATCCAAGAAATATTCAGGATATGTTGTATAAAAAAGAATACAAAATTGGAAATAATTATAAGCCAAATGTCATGGGGGGGGGGGGGGGGGTGTTTGTTGTAATGAATTCACAAGAATACTGCAATCTCATATAATTTGCCAACCTACCAAGTGTCAAAGAAATTGGCTGAAAACAAAGAATCCTCTGCAAACCAGAGCAATGCTAATTCATGACTGACAAAAACCTCGCTCTTAATATGTTCATGAACACCTAGTCTGTCTATTTTGGTAAGATTTGAGTATAATACATAATTGTCTCATAGCAACAGTATGATGCATGTCAATGGTTTGTGAGATGTTGACATTGTTCATAGCATATAATTGCCACTAGAGGTCACTAGTAAATCATCAGAATATTTCCACAACACAGAAAGCTAGATCCAAGACTGAAACTGTTCCCTCGTGGCCTAAACCTAAAGAAGATTTCCACACAAATTTATAATACTAAAACGTCAAAAGGCAACAACTCCTTGACTAAAAGTTCAATCACGTGGTTGTGCTTAAGCCTAAAAAGTTTTCAAGAAATTCGTTGAAAATGAAAGAGATTTCTGGAAAAGATTAACATAATGAAATCAACAAAGGGCAAAAACTCTTCCAAATACGATCAAATCCAAATGCCGTTCATGAAAACATTACATCATGTCATTATAATTCAGCCTTCTAAGTTTGAAAGAAATTGGTTAAAAGATTAGACAGGAAATCTCACCACAAGATTAACATCATGAAAATAACAAGGGGCAATCACTCTAAGAAATACTAATATTCTGGAAAACACAACTTCAAGGCTTGGTGATTAGGTATACTAAGTTTGAAAAATGTGTGAAAAATCTTCAGACAAATAAAAGTTTATGACTGGGGAAGACTGAATTATTTGCTTTTTTTTTTTTTTTTTTTTTGGTTTTTAAATCTTTCTTTTTTATTTGCCCTGAAAAATAGAAACTGCCAGGGTATAGGTTTTAATTGTTGTACTGCTTGTAGGTAGTTAACTGTATTAATTACCTTTTGGAACTCCTTGTCAAATGAAAGGTAGGCCAGGGCACCTCCAAATGTGCCTGTTATCCTTGCTACAGAATTAGCCCCGCCACCTGTGAAGTAAGGTATAAAATCATTTATAGACATATCTGGTAAAATCTCATGACACAAAAGCATATTTCTATAATTTAAAATAACTTTTGTCAATTAAGGAAATTTATGATTTATGAAAAAATTGAAACTGAAATCTCCAGAGGAATGCTGGATTCAAATTGTTGGCATTGAAAATACGGATCTCAGACGTTGTTATAAAATCAATAATCCAAAATCTGGACACAATCAACTGTCTGGTTAAAACAGAAGCAATAAGAGAGGGAGAGAAACTGTTCAGTCTTTGAGATCTACTGATAAGAAGTTATCAATGCATCAGCTTTAGGGTTGTACTGGACATACAGAGCTTACTACATGTACTGACCAACAATATGTCCCATGGCACTGTGGAAACCCCTGATCATGTTCTCAGAGAATTCATCATCTCCTTGAATTGTGTCCTGTAATGGGAACAATAAATTAAAAAAATTTGCATGTATTATTGTTAAATATTCTTAACTTAACAAAGATTGGATTATCTCGCCTTCATCTAATTATCTGTGCATATTAAGTTGTCTCCCCTTATCAAGTAACCATCATCTCTGTTTGCTGAGTAAAAAGGGTTATTTTGAGGCGGTTTTTATTGTAGTAGCAGCTGTTTGCTACTACACTGAACAACATAAGGGAGGACCATCCGGATCAACTTGGGGAAAAAAGTCTTCCCCAAGTACACAATGACAGCAAAACAGTCCATTCAGTTTCTCAGTGTTATAAGAAACAAAAACCACCATTGGTAGGGAGCATTAAAAAATATACCTCAGATCTTCCTGTGATGTTGCGTAGGGCACCATTTTAGTGAAAGAGCAGAACTGACAGATATAAATATACAAACTGGTGGAGTAATTACTGCTATCCCACATTTATATAACTGGAGTATAATAAGTTTGAATAGCTGTTGTTTAATCTGACTCACCAGCAGAGGTTCGTAGAAAAGGTCACCCAGACCCTGCGATATGTCTTGCATCAGACCATAGGGGTTACCCAGTACATCCAGTCCCAGCACCACCACATATACCTGTAGGATCAGCTGCTGACGGTAATGAGCTACCATCTGATTGGTTAACTGTTTCCATGACAATGAGGCACCTCGTTTCTCAAAATAACCAAACCTAGTTTTAAAAATATTCATATATATTGAAAATTAAATCTTTGACAAAATAATTCTAAATGTAAAAAGAAAAAGGTTCCATAGGCCTGTATTTCTCAGTTTTGTTTTCCTGAAATAGACAAAATGTTGAAACTTTTAAATTAGTAAATTTTAGAAAGCATATTACTTTTCACTAATTACTGGTTTATCTAACCCAATAATACAAGAATAACATTTACAAAGCTTGTTCAAAATACAGATGTTATGACAAATTGGTTTCATTTCAACTTACTTCAGTTCTACATCCTTTACTTCAATGAAAGTAGCTCCAACAGAATTACGGAGGAACTCTTTAACATCTGAAGTTATATTTGGTTGGACGTCCCTTGTGAGGTGAGGTGTCCCACGAAAGGAGAAGCTTACATGTAGCTGAAATTTAGAATAAAAAAAAATCATTATTAAATGGTTTGAGATGAGCAATTTTGTTGAGCAAATTTTTTAATGATTTAGGAAAAGGCTGAGTTTTCATTTCATGTTCTAACTACATGCATATCAGTTACAAATCCATAAAATCAGCCCATGCTCAGTAATAAGCCCACCCTTATGTATTGCTGTTCATCAACTTAACCAACAATCATTGCTTTATTTAACGTGCAATAAGCCCTCCAAATGACATTCTCCCCACCTTTTTGAGTCAGATGAGTAATGTGTTGTAGTTATATCAATAAATTTTACCTTGAGTGGAGAAATTTTACACATCTCAAAGAATATCCGTTTTGTACTTCTATCCTGTTAAAAAAAGGACAAGAAATTTACAGTAAAGTAACATAAGCCTGGTTTCAATAACATTTTTATATGTCAACAACTGACTACTGCTTTGTCACTTTAAAAGATTCAAACTATGATGAATGTCACCATGATTTGTTAGTTATTGTAATGTATCTGATATATATCATGTCACTCTTATTCAAATGTACCTGTTATGTTGAGAAGTGTCTGATTTTTTTTTTTATTATATTTTTGATATTTCTGTAACTGTGATGTGCCTGCTTGAATGATGTTCCTGTTAATGTCATACCTTTTATTGTAATGCTTCTGTTATTGTAATGTTTCTACTAATGTAATGTCTCTGTTATTGTGATGTATCTGTAATAATGGTTTTCCTGTTAATGTCATACCTTTTATTGTAATGATTCTGTTATTATAATGTTTCTACTACTGTATGTTTTAATGTTCATTTTTCTGTTATAATGATGTTCCTGATAATATGTCATACCTTTTACTGTAATGCTTCTGTTTCATAAATGTGATATATCTGTTGTTGTAAAAAAGTGTAAATATGATAAAGTACCTCTCAATGTAGCATACTTTTTAGTTATACTAAACATGATATTTAGATACATAAATTAGCATAATCAAGTTGTAACTAGGTATGAGTTGACAGCTTTAAAAATCAGTTTCTTGGGTCCATATCTTTAACAACGGGATGATGATTCCCTAACGAATGTGAATGAATTGTTATAAGTTAATATGCATTGATGTTAATATGATCATGTGTAAACATGGTGTGGAGGATAAACTGACCTTGACCTCAGCAAGGTCATTTAGGTGCTTCTGTGCTAAAATTAGATCGGACTGCAATCTTGCACACTGCAATGAATGAAGAAATCACATGACCACAGAGCAAAAGTTAGGGAGAAATATCAAACAAAAGAAATACAAGAACAGGATTTTCCTAAATGTCACAAGTAACATGTGTCTTACAATGAGAATCAGGAAATTAACACTAAATCTTTTATAAGTGCTAAGACATCAATATACAAAACAACTCTTTCTGTTTAGGACATCTAGATCAGCTCTTTTCATAAACATATTCAAGAAATAATTACATCATTAAGATAATCAATCATTCTGATAAGTCAACGTGTATAAAGAGACTTCTTCCTCATGAATAGGTCACATCTTCGCAACCTCGGGAGAATATCAGAGGTTTTTTGTTAGATTTGTATCCAGGACAGGTTTTTGTTGGATTTCATTCCAGGAGAGGGTTTTGTTGGATTTCTATCCAGGACAGGTTTTTGTTGGATTTCTATCCAGGAGAGGTTTTTGTTGGATTTCTATCCAGGAGAGGTTTTTGTTGGATTTCATTCAAGGAGAGGGTTTTGTTGGATTTCTATCCAGGAGAGGGTTTTGTTGGATTTCTATCCAGGAGAGGGTTTTGTTGGATTTCTATCCAGGAGAGGTTTTTGTTGGATTTCTATCCAGGAGAGGTTTTGTTGGATTTCTATCCAGGAGAGGGTTTTGTTGGATTTCTATCCAGGAGAGGTTTTTGTTAGATTTCTATCCAGGAGAGGTTTTGTTGGATTTCTATCCAGGAGAGGGTTTTGTTGGATTTCTATCCAGGAGAGGTTTTTGTTAGAATTCTATCCAGGAGAGGTTTTTGTTGGATTTCTATCCAGGAGAGGTTTTTGTTTCTCACAAAGCTAATTACACACCTAGCTGAAAGTGCTTTTCATAATTGTGACCAATTAATGACTTAGGATAATATATGGCAGACCTCCAGCATCAGGTTCATTGAAAAAGCCAACAGCTACAACTGTTACTTTTCCTATGAACATCAACAACTTTAATTCCCTTATCACATATGTACTATTACATACAGTGAACATCTAAATCTAAATCCCAATTCAATTTTTTTTGCATTTTGACCTTTTATCAATTAGGTGAAAAATAAAAATGGCAGTGTTTTTAGCTTTTCAATGAAAACTGAAATATACATCATTGTATTCTTTGTGTGAATACAACACTTTATTTTTAAGGAAGAGCGAAAATAACCCTGGGAGAATGTTGCTCCATAAATGGTTTAAAATGTTGATTTGCAGGATAGTAATTATCACACCAAAGCTGTCACTGAAAAACAAAAGTAAAATTTTCCCTTTAATCAAGGTACTTATACAGATAAATTTCATCAAGATTAAATCACATTGAAAAACTGACCTCTGATTCTGGTTTAGGCACAAGGTCAGCAAATGTGTCCTGAATGGATTCAATAAATCCCCAGTCAAGTTGGACACTGAATTCCTGGATGATTACCTGTAGTTGTCTGTGTAATGGAAATACAAACCATTAGACAAACTAAGCTCATTAAAATAGAGAAATGATAAAATATTGTACCTGTATCGGTAACAGCAAAGAGAAGTTTATAAAGGCAAAATTCAGACTTGAAATGCTAACTTATAGAAAATTGACCTGAATTTAAAGATTTTTCAAAAATTCACCATTTTTGTTTCAAAAGGACTGCATACTGGAAAACTTGCATGTTTCACCATTACAAAGAGGGCATAATTAAAAAGTGGGTGAAATGAATACTTCTATATATTTGAGGGTGAATTTAACATTGGGGCAAAAATAAAAAGTTTGAGTTTGAGGTAAAATAATCTAGGGCAAAAATTTTCCTTGGCCTTATGCACTTATTTCCAGGCAAAGATGAGCTGGAAGTTTTGTATACGAGATCTACAGCAAAGGATGCTTTTTGATACAAACTGTACAAAATGGAAGGCACAATCACAGATTTTCTTTAATTCTGAATTATAAAATTATGAGTCTTTTAAGCATTACAAACAGTTTACACTTACTGTTGCATCATCAAAAAAAAAAAAATTTCAGATTTTAAAATCTAAAAAAAATTTTTTTTTTTTTTTTTTTTAAATTTGAATTCTTTAAAAAGTAAACAGAAAATCAATGCATTGATCCAGAAACAAACATCTAACCTGAATGTGTCAACATTGTTCTCTGGGACACAGCGCCGGATCATACCGAATTCAATAAAAGGTTTTGGGCCCTTTTTCTTGATCATATTTAGGGGTATAGGGGCTGGATGTAGCACCGTCTGATAGTAGGCATCATGGAGTTGATTGTCGACCTATAATAGAATCATACACCAAACCATAGTTAATTAATGTCACAGCATACAAGGTCATAGTTTTTATGTAATTTATTGTCACTGAAACAAAAAGGGGAAACATATGGCATTATTTTCACAAAGTCTAGCACATTTGTCAAAGAATTTCTCTAAGTTCCTTAGTCACCTCCTTGGCTTCAAATTTTAGTCCCTTAGCATCACTGACGAGTCCTAGAAGGACGAAACAGCTGTATGATGCAGTTTAATTCATTGTTTGGCTCTACTGTATCTCACTCTGAATTACGAAAAGGTGCTATTCACTTATGTGTCTTTTGTACAATGTTGAAGCTCTTGTCTATTTTTGTCCTAGTCAATATGTTTCTCATCTGTGTTATATTCCATGCATATTTGTTATTTAATGCACGTAATAGGTATATCTGGATGTGAGCGGAAATTACAAATACAAAAATGAAATATACAAAATGACAGATCAGGGTAACACTATATCCCCCTGATCAAGATATGGTCGGAGCAAACAGATGCACCTCGCAACAGTGTCTTATGTATTTTCAATTTACCTGTATTTTACACATGTCTATATAATGTTAAATTTTACCTGTATATGGTGAACTTTGGCATGTATAAATGTCTGGTGTTCAGATCTTCGATACTGAAATAACATTCCGGGTGGACAAACACGACACAGATCTCCAATGTATGGTTTGGTCATCCGCATATTGGCAAAATCCACCTGTCAGTATAAAAATAAAGTACAAATTTGAACTGGTGTCATGAACCCTGGCCACCTTTCATACTGACCTCTAGATTTTAACCCAGAACAATGACCTTACTCTATCTTCACCTTCTATGCTGACATCTTTATCACCATCTTTATCCTGACCTATGAACTTTCACCTTCTTGACTCCCGAATTACTTACTTTTCACTGCTCTATCACTAGATGTTCAATCAAAATATACCTATACACTGAGTACTTGAAACTTGACCTCTGACCTACTTTTACTCTCAATTTGACCTTTGATTTACCTATAACTTGACCTCTGACCTACCTCTTTATTGACCTCTGATCTACCATAAACTTGACTTCTGACATAGCTCCTACTCTGAACTCTGACCTACCTCTATACGGTCCTCCAGACTGGCCTGGGACAGACCATGGATCCATTTGTCCTCTAACCAGGTCACTAAGGTAACATCCTCTAGGACCTTCAACTTGTTCTTGACCTCAATCTGCCACATGGCTGGCATGCTTGACACACTGACCAGAGCAACCTCCTCATAAGCCTCACTCACCACGGACAAAGATAAGCCGTCCAGTGACAGCATTGTTAACAGCGACGCCTGTTCTCCCTCATTCATCTGTGTGTAAAAACAAAAATATAACATCAGTAATTATCACAAGGAATATCATTATACATGCACTACAATCTGTGTATTTAACAAGATTTCTTCATCTCATGAACCTTTCTTCACATTTTCATTGGTAGCCCAATTCACTTGTACTTTGCCTTCAAAGCATTTGTAAAAATATTAGAAAATGAAATTAAATTCATGGTGTAGTTGAGTAGGTAGGAAAAAATAAACATTCCCAAAAAACAAACACTGTTAGTGTTCACTCTGAAAAGGATTTTTTCAAGTTCATTATCATAAGATATTTCAGTTTGATCAGACTGATTCATGTACCTGGTAATCGGACAGTATTTCCCTACAGATAAATCAAATGGTTTCCCCCCCCCCAGTATTTCCCTACAGATAAATCAAATGGTTCCCCCTCCCAACATCAAACAAGGAGAATTAACTCCATTACACTGACATCCAAAAAGGGAATTAACTCTGTTAGAGTGAGTAACAAACAAATTTCCCAAAATTTCATTCGGTGACATTTACCCGTCACCAGAAGTGCAAAGTGCCAATGAAGAAAAAAGAAAAAAAAAAGGAAAATTCTAACTGAAAGTAGCGTTACTTTACCCATTCATCCTCTTGACAAGTTAACAAATGGTAGATAAAGGGAAATAACTCTAAACAAAATAGAGAGTACACAATATGATTCTACTTTGAAACAGACTTCTCCACAAATTGCATTGATACTGTTGAAAGATTTTGAAATATGTCCCCAAACCATGGTATTATTATATAACATGTATGTGAACATGAACGAAAGCCCACGAAATCACTGAATGATGATAAAGCTAAATTCTACAGATAATATCTCCATCCTCTGATAGTGCCAGCACTGGGCACTGGTGAATTGATTAGCTGTAAGCCAAGTGACAATATTAAAAAAATGATCTGGCTAATCTAGCTGTAATTTTAGAATTTAAAAGATGTCAATAAAACAATAATATGAATACCAGTGATGAAGATTTATTTTTCATAAGAAATTATGGCACATTACATTTAATATCAAAATTGTGAAATTTCAATAGAAAACTAAAGTGGAAAATAAAACATGATTCCACAAGATTTTCAAAATCAAATAGTTTTAAAGGATAAATAAACAAAAAGAGAAATTGTAAACAAAGTTAAATTCTATTTTGATTGATTTAGTTTAAATATGTTACAATTACTTTACTTTCTGAAGCACTAAACTAACAATTACTGAATTAAATTTATCAAAATCAAAACCATACATTTTGTTATTTTGCAAACCCAATGATTAATGATCTACCTACATATATATGTATAGAACGCCGATTAATCAGATCTACTTGTTGAATATATCTATGAGGAATACAATCTGCATGACATATATACTGTATAGCTGACCTCAGATCTACCCGTAAAACAGCGCAAACATTTCATGCCAGGTGTTTAATATTAAAATATCTTCAGGCCAAATGAATCTCTTGTATGCTCTGTCCATGCTTGAACTATATTACAAATACTATCATTCAAATTAATGTGTTTGAATGCATGAATATGCCTCCACATTGCAAAGCTAACTTTCTATTTGACAGACATGTTTTACTAGAAGACTATCTGACCTTGAACTGACTTTGACCTTGACCTTCATGCAGCAGCTACAGTGTTTTGACTTGACCGTGAACATGCCCATACACGTAGCTTGTATATGTATGTACATAGGTAATGTAAATAGTATTTTTTTAACAAAATGTTTTTGCAAATGTCTATCTATGGACAGAAGGATGGACACCCTGATTCCAGTATATAACAGATTATCTGAATTTTACCCTGAGTTTGGTTTATTATTCAATTCAGTGCATGCAAAATTTATGTTCAATGCAAATTTGATATCAGAATGTTATTGTTACATTCATCAGTCAAGAAAATCCACATGGTACATGATCTATAGTGTATAGTAAGCTGGTGACTGATCTATAAAAAAAATACATGGAAAGTCTGACATGAAAATGTTTTGTACTTTTAACAGGATTTCAGTTTTAAAATGAGATTTTTTGGGGTTTAATATTCTTGAATACTTCATTTAATTTTCATGACATGTTGAATGGCAGAGAAAAGATGTAATGGTTTAGAATCAGAATTATAATGAAATATTTATTTTTTTATGTTTCTGAAAAGTAATTTCAAAATAAACATTACGAGTAGATTTAAGTCAAAGAAATATATTTATATTTACAAATAAGCCATTTAAAACCAAAAAGATTTTGATTTCTGATTCTTTTCTGAGTCACTATACCTCTGTTGCATTCTGATTAAAATGAAATATGACTGAAAAAACATGAGCAAATCTTTACTAAAGTTTTAACAAAATTTTCCTGTCAAATTATAAAATGAATCCTTCACTGAGTTGACAGCCCTCAGGTACTTACAGTAAGTTTAGCTGTCTCTACATTACTGATTCAGAAGTTTCAGGAGAAATTCCACTGGTTAGTTTAACATTGTTCTGTTAAATAAGTCCATCCCAATACTTTACAAGCTTTGGTTTGTTGTTAGATATTGGTGGTACTTTGAAATACAAATTACAATTTGGATACAAATTACACAAATAATTTAGATTATTGTTATAATTAAATAAAAGTCATTTGATAAACAGACTTCAGTGTATGATCTAATTAAGAGTTAGAGGAGAAAATATATGACAAATATAATTGATATGTAAATTTGTCATAATTATGAAATACATTTCTGCATACACAGAAGAAGAAACTAGAATGGTTTAAGCAGTGAGTGAGAGTTGTTAGCTGTACATTCCAACTTCCTGCAGGCTTTCTCCTGAAGCCAAATCACATAACAGGAAAATTGTAAAACAAGGGAGATAACCTCTCAATCAACTACAGACTCAGTACACATCTCATGGTTAAAAAAATGATATTGAAAATATTCCATCTACTTAACAAAAGATATTAAATAATAATTGTTTTTAACCTTCAAAAGCTCCATGTTGTTTTCCTATTTGTTCCTGGACTTTCTGTATGAAGCATGTGTTCATGAAAGCACTATGATTATCCCACAATACTTTTTACGAAAAAGATTTTGAAAAATGATTATTTTCCCCTAAAATTATCAAACCTGGATACCATGTAAGTTAGATAAGACAGATGCTAGATCAAACTTACATCCAAATATAATTTTAAGATGATGGAAATTAAGCTGTGTCTGTAGTTGGAAAGAGAGTCAATGACATTGAAATGTGTTTCCTGTGTAGACCTGACTACAAAAGCAAGACACTACAGAAAAAAATCATGTGTTTTGTTTCATTTAATTTCTTCACAATTTTATTGTACTGCCAATTTTTATCAGTTTTTGTAAACAAGTACGGTAACAGGAAACCCATTTTATTTCTGGCCTACTTTATTGCCCCAGGGATAGTGACCATGAGGGTGGGGAGGAGTGGTTTTACCTTTGGCGCTGGACCACCAACATGCTTTGGTGAACACAGATCATTTACATGTGCCTGTTTGAACAGTAATTGAGTCCAAAAAATAAAATAGAAACACAAGGTCTGTAAATGTTGAATAAATTAAATGTATCAACCGTATTTATTCTAAATGACACTCCTTCATGAATTATTATTCAATAATTTCAAGCTGACCCAGACAGACTTTGCTTTAATGAAAAATTCAAAATGCACAGGGAAAAATTGAGATCTTGAAAAGTTTTGCTATCGTCAAAATTTGTTGGTCTTACTTTTTTTTTTTGTGGTAAAATATATTTTGAATAAGATATTTTATTTCCAACAGTTATGGATTTGCTACAGTCACAGAAATTTTTCAAAATAAATACGGTATATACTAGGAAAAAGCATCAAACAAAAGATAAATCAAGGGAAAAAATTTAAATGAAATCCTTCATAATGAGTTCCACATCAGGTTATAATCATAGAATATTCAGCAAGGTAAATTTGGAGGCAGAAAGGGAATATTAGGAACGACTTGCAAAATTATTTCAATTAATCCAGGCGCTTGGTCAAAAAAAAGGTGGGAATCAAATACAGTTGGGGTAAAAATTGCAAAACCAAAAGGTCAAGACACACCCATTGGAGTCAACAGTCCCCCAAACTAAAGGGAGACAATATACCTGAAAGGGAGATAATTTCTAAAATATAGGAAGTTACAATGATTAAAGGGAGATAACTTTAAATGCAGAAAAAAAGGGGGGGAAGGGCTGAGAAATGAGATTAAAAAACGGACAATTATCATCTTAAGGAGTAAAATATCTGAAGTAAAACACAACAATTATATGACAAAAAAATACCTCAAAAACAGAAGGAGATAGCCATAAATTGCAAAATACAAACAGAAGCTAGTAATGAACATTACCATTCGGGCCGCATCAGCCACTCTGGAGTCCCGTGTAAAAAGAATGACTCGTTGCTGCCCATCCAAGAATGAAATCCAAAAAATTTTCATCTTGTAAGAGTTTGTTTTCAGTAGGGTTGTTGTGTCTATATCACTATCGTACATACAATCCACAGCATCACTGTCATCTGTAAGGAATCACACCTGGGTATAAGATCACTTTAAATTCTGATTTTGACTAAAACTGTGTGCTGTAGACTAAATTCACCATTCTAACCAACCCTCTCCTAAAAGTAAAAGTGATGATTAGAAATATATTGATTTCAAGAGATGAAATCATGTAGGATGTTAAAATGATGTTCCACTCTAAGGTATATTATCGTCACTAAAGACATACAGTGTTGTTCATCATTTAAAAGACATTTTTGTGGGGGTTCCTTTTTTTTCAAAATTTGACAAATTTCCATTAAAATCATTGGACCAAAAATGAGAGAAAGAAGTTATGCAGGTACAGTACACAACTGCAAGAATGCGGTAAACAAATGTTTAAACTTATTTCTTCAAAATTCTGATGTCAGTTATAAGGAGTTCTGAAGTCAATTGTAAGGAGTTCTGATGTAAGGAGTTCTGATGTCAATTGTAAGGGGTTCTGATGTCAATTGTAAGGAGTTCTGATGTCAATTGTAAGGAGTTTTGATGTCAATTGTAAGGAGTTCTGATGTGAATTGTAAGGGGTTTTGATGTCAATTGCAAGGAGTTTTGATGTCAATTGTAAGGAGTTCTGATGTCAATTGTAAGGAGTTCTGATGTCAATTGTAAGGAGTTCTGATGAAAGGGGTTCTGATGTCAATTGCAAGGAGTTCTGATGTCAATTGTAAGGAGTTCTGATGTAAGGAGTTCTGATGTCAATTGTAAGGAGTTCTGATGTCAATTGTAAGGAGTTCTGATGTCAATTGTAAGTATTTCTGATGTCTATTGTAAGGAGTTCTGATGTCAATTGTAAGGAGTTTTGATGTCAATTATAAGGAGTTCTGATGTCAATTGTAAGGAGTTCTGATGTCAATTGTAAGATGTTTTGATGTCAATTGTAAGGAGTTCTGATGTCAATTGTAAGGAGTTCTGATGTCAATTGTAAGGAGTTCTGATGTCAATTGTAAGGAGTTCTGATGTCAATTGCAAGGAGTTCTGATGTCAATTGTAAGGAGTTCTGATGTCAATTGTAAGGAGTTCTGATGTCAATTGTAAGGGGTTTTGATGTCAATTGCAAGGAGTTTTGATGTCAATTGTAAGGAGTTCTGATGTCAATTGTAAGGAGTTCTGATGTCATTTGTAAGGAGTTCTGATGTCATTTGTAAGGAGTTCTGATGTCAGTTGCAAGGAGGTTTGATGTCAATTGTAAGGAGTTCTGATGTCAATTGTAAGGAGTTCTGATGTCAATTGTAAGGAGTTTTGATGTCAATTGTAAGGAGTTCTGATGTCAATTGTAAGGGGTTTTGATGTCAATTGCAAGGAGCTTTGATGTCAATTGTAAGGAGTTATGATGTCAATTGTAAGAAGTTCTGATGTCAATTGTAAGGAGTTATGATGTCAATTGTAAGTATTTCTGATGTCAATTGTAAGGAGTTTTGATGTCAATTGTAAGGAGTTCTGATGTCAATTGTAAGGAGTTCTGATGTCAATTGTAAGTATTTCTGATGTCAATTGTAAGGAGTTTTGATGTCAATTGTAAGGAGAACTTGCTGGGATATGTCTTACAAAAGGGACAGAATTCCTAAAAAAAAAAAGAAAAAAGAGCATTACACAGAAAATATTATGAACATTTTTTCGTGCAATATATATGTAGGAGTACTGAAACAAGAAAACAATTCCCTGGGTTAACCCAGAGACACTGATAGTTATACAGTGTAACCTCTGTAGAAGGTCTCACTGGAAACCCTCCCCTCAGGTATAACCCAGAGACAAAGTGCTCGGGGCTAACCTTGAAAGAGACCCAGTCTCTGGGCTAACCCAGAAAGAGACCCACCCTCTGGGCTGCTGTCGTGGTGATGCCGTCCCTGTTGAGGGCTGTACTTGTAAGTCCCTGACTCCTGAACCAGTTGAATCTTGAGCTGCTTGAAGTAGAAGCCATCCTAAAAAAAACCAAACATATAAACAGATACTGCAAATTTTCGCTTTTTTCTTGATGGATACTTGTAAAGCAAACAATGAAATCTTTGACTAAGGCAAGTTTTTCTCAAGTCACCTTGGTGATGTCCACTTCAGAGTCCTGCTTATTGGAGCAGCCGTACACATTCCACATCAGTTTCCTGGGACCTGTGGGGTCATCCCATGTGTACAGGATGGACCGATCAGCTGGAAGAACGGTCATCTGATGCTGGTTTCTAAAATACATGCATTAAATGGTTTAATGAATGATAAAATTTCAATTGGTACGAAATTTGATAAAGAAAATTATAAAATATTGTAGATTAAGAAAACATCAGCTAATATCCCTGTCTTAGAGAGCTTATATTCAAACGCATGTACGCAATTTTGAATCCTAAGTACAAATCTTTTTCCAAAGCCACTGGCAGAGGTCAAGAATTTGTTATTCTTCAGAATCCTTTATGGAAAGTTGCATCGATACTGTCCATAATTGTATTAAACTTGTACAGGTAAAGTATTTATTGTGGACAAACTGATTAAACAGAGACCTCACCGAGGTCAAATGTAGACTGGGTCCCAGATGAACTTCGTCTTGTGTTATAAACAAATGTTATTTTCAAGGGATTCAAATTTTTTCATTTTCTTTTTTAATTTTTAAAAATATTTTTGAGAATGGAATAGAATTACAATTATTGCCAATATCAGTTAGGGAGGGGACTTACATTTGATGGATTGTGATAAAAACATCATCACACAGATTTTCCACTCTAACAGGTGCGTCTCCTGGGTCATAGTCAGAGAATGTGATTGTCCTAGGGGTCTCAATTCCACCGGACACTTCGACACACAAGGCGGACTGTTACAATATAACACACGAAGATTATCAGTCAAAGCATGCAACATTAAATTGTTTATTTTACTCATTAAAAATACAAAGTTTCTACGAATTCATTATCAATATTGAAATAAATTTATTCAGAAAATTTCCTAAAAATCTAGTATTTCAGACCTAACAGCACAAAAGCAATGGTCTCTAATTATGTCAATTAGTATTTCAGATAAGTAAGAATTTTATTACAGGTACACTTAGGATGGTTAGTAATTCATTTATCTATTTATCTTCATCTTTCTAATGAAATACAATCATTGAAATGAAAATAAATCAAAGCATATCCTAGCACTGATCCCTGGAGACTAAGTTTCACATAAACTTAGAAAAAATAAAGTGTAGCAAACTTCCATTTGTATAAAACATTGAACAGATATCTAATTTATATTCTTCCAACCTTCTTAATTAGAACAAAAGAAAAAAAATATTCTGAAATACCACATTGTATACATCTTATTATTAAGGACATATATAAACGCTGTCAGTGTTATATTATTGACTGCTGGTGGAGAGAAAACTTACCCGGTGTTCCATACATAGGACAGTGTTGTGGAGAGAAAACTTACCTCGTGTTCCATACATAGGACAGTGTTGTGGAGAGAAAACTTACCTCGTGTTCCATACATAGGACAGTGTTGTGGAGAGAAAACTTACCCCATGTTCCATACATAGGACTGTGTTGTGAAGAGAAAACTTACCTGGTGTTCCATACATAGGACAGTGTTGTGGAGAGAAAACTTAACTCGTGTTCCATACATAGGACAGTGTTGTGGAGAGAAAACTTAACTCGTGTTCCATACATAGGACAGTGTTGTGGAGAGAAAACTTACCCCATGTTCCATACATAGGCCTGTGTTGTGGAGAGAAAACTTACCCCATGTTCCATACATAGGACAGTGTTGTGGAGAGAAAACTTACCTCGTGTTCCATACATAGGACAGTGTTGTGGAGAGAAAACTTACCTCGTGTTCCATACATAGGACAGTGTTGTGGAGAGAAAACTTACCCTGTGTTCCATACATAGGACTGTGTTGTGGAGAGAAAACTTACCCTGTGTTCCATACGTAGGACTGTGTTGTGGAGAGAAAACTTACCCCATGTTCCATACATAGGACAGTGTTGTGGAGAGAAAACTTACCCCATGTTCCATACATAGGACAGTGTTGTGGAGAGAAAACTTAGGATACTAGGACTGTTTGTGGAGAGAAAACTTACCCCATGTTCCATACGTAGGACAGTGTTGTGGAGAGAAAACTTACCCCATGTTCCATACGTAGGACAGTGTTGTGGAGAGAAAACTTACCCCATGTTCCATACGTAGGACAGTGTTGTGGAGAGAAAACTTACCCCATGTTCCATACATAGGACAGTGTTGTGGAAAGAAAACTTACCCCATGTTCCATACATAGGACAGTGTTGTGGAGAGAAAACTTACCCCATGTTCCATACATAGGACAGTGTTGTGGAGAGAAAACTTACCCCATGTTCCATACATAGGACAGTGTTGTGGAGAGAAAACTTAACTCGTGTTCCATACATAGGACAGTGTTGTGGAAAGAAAACTTACCCCATGTTCCATACGTAGGACAGTGTTGTGGAGAGAAAACTTACCCCATGTTCCATACATAGGACAGTGTTGTGGAGAGAAAACTTACCCCATGTTCCATACATAGGACAGTGTTGTGGAGAGAAAACTTACCCCATGTTCCATACATAGGACAGTGTTGTGGAGAGAAAACTTACCCCATGTTCCATACATAGGACAGTGTTGTGGAGAGAAAACTTACCCCATGTTCCATACATAGGACAGTGTTGTGGAAAGAAAACTTACCCCATGTTCCATACATAGGACAGTGTTGTGGAGAGAAAACTTACCCCATGTTCCATACATAGGACAGTGTTGTGGAAAGAAAACTTACCCCATGTTCCATACATAGGACAGTGTTGTGGAGAGAAAACTTACCCCATGTTCCATACATAGGACAGTGTTGTGGAGAGAAAACTTACCCCATGTTCCATACATAGGACAGTGTTGTGGAGAGAAAACTTACCCCATGTTCCATACATAGGACAGTGTTGTGGAAAGAAAACTTACCCCATGTTCCATACGTAGGACAGTGTTGTGGAAAGAAAACTTACCCCATGTTCCATACGTAGGACAGTGTTGTGGAGAGAAAACTTACCCCATGTTCCATACGTAGGACAGTGTTGTGAAGAGTGTTGAATGGGATATGTTCAGAGACTACACCGCTATCTTCATATTTTATGAACATCTTCTCACTAGTAGTCCTTGGCCACAGTGGGCAGCACTGATGACACAATTGATATTGGTAATTAAAATCACTTAAATAACAATCAAGATAATTAGTACATACTTTCCTGATAATAAGCCCATGCCCGGTAATAAGCCCATCTTCTCTTAAAGCAATTTTAGTGGAAATGTAAACAAAAGCTAAATTATCGTCCCTTGATAAGCCTATCTCCTTAAAAGTTGGAAATTATGTTTTAGCACCATAGAGTTATGCAGGAAAAATCAGGCAATTTCTTCTGGTATGTTTTAGGGCTCTGTTTAAATTTTTGACATATTTTGCCTTCTTTCATTGGTTTTGAATTTGAATCACTTTAACATCAACGACACCAAACATAATTATCAAAATCAATACTGTGACCTGAAGCCTTCTACATAAAAGAGACTTCATGCTGTTGTTATATCTGTCATAGACAACCCAACCGCTATAATTATCTACACTTATGGCAGTGAGCGAAGTTATAAAAACCTTTGTGTTCACCGACGTGCTTACTGTAGACTTACTAACAAGGGATCTCCTGCTGGCAACAAGCAGTGGCAATCCTGCCTTAGCAGATCTTATTTTCAGAAAAAAAAGATGCCAAAAGAGAACTTCAGCAAAATGCAGGGGTATATCGCAAGGAAGGCCCCTTTCGCCACAACATTATCCTGGTTTACAAAAATCTGCCCCCCCTCCCCCCCATCCCTCTCCTGATCCATTTTCCCCGTTTTACCTTTCCCTTTTTAAGGTCCTCCCACAAATCAGTCTCCTCATTCTCCTCCATATAGCGAAGGTTGTGACTAGAATTGTTGACCACCAGGAAGAACGGTAGGATGGTCACTATCCGGGTCAGTTTCAAGCTTGACCACTGACACTGTAGCATCATCTGTAAACACATGACCAAACATTAAGGCAACAAATCGGTCTCAACACTGACCCATTAAGATGTACAAGATTCAACAATGAATATCTGGACTTTTCCATTTCAAAATCAGACAGTCACAATACACTGTATGGGATTTTTGCATCTAATTTGTTAAAGTCATGAATGAGACAATCGACAGCTTCTAGAGTCATTTACTCATTGTCCAAATCCCAAATACATACAGGTAACAGGTTATATTAATCTAACTTCAAAGAAATATGTTACAGAATTCCCTAAGGGGAAAAACAATGAATTCAGCACTTTCAGTCTCTGTGTGAAAAAAACTTTTGCATTTTGTGTTAAAAATCACTTGAATGAGAAGCCATGGAATTCAAAAGCATAAATATTTTCCTAATTGAGTTATTCCCCTTGGTACCTACCCTGTATCTTTTCTGACGCTCCTTGTCGTAGCAGATGACTACGCCAGAGTTACCAATCGTATCCATAGAAAAAGATTGCGACCACTTTGAGTTGTACACTCGTACTTTGGCCTACCGAAACAAGATTAAATGAATAGAAATTGGGTTAAATCAAACGAATAAAGGTCAAGAAAGGTCATATAGATATGTAATGAGAAGTCAAAGGCAGACAAAAGGTCAAATGTAAAGATACAAGGTCAAGAAAGATCAAAGGTATAGAAATAAGGTCAACTGTAAAGATACAAAGTCAAGAAGAGTCAAAGGTATAGAAATAAGGTCAAATGTAAAGATACAAGGTCAAGAAAGATCAAAGGTATAGAAATAAGGTCAAATGTAAAGAAACAAGGTCAAGAAAAGTCAAAGGTATAGAAATAAGGTCAAATGTAAAGATACAAGGTCAAGAAAGATCAAAGGTATAGAAATAAGGTCAAATGTAAAAACAAGGTCAAGAAAAGTCAAAGGTATAGAAATAAGGTCAAATGTAAAGATACAAGGTCAAGAAAAGTCATAGGTATAGAAATAAGGTCAAATGTAAAGAAACAAGGTCAAGAAAAGTCAAAGGTATAGAAATAAGGTCAAATGTAAAGATACAAGGTCAAGAAAGATCAAAGGTGTAGAAATAAAGTCAAATGTAAAGATACAAGGTCAAGAAAAGTCAAAGGTATAGAAATAAGGTCAAATGTAAAGATACAAGGTCAAATAGAAATAAGGTCAAATGTAAAGATACAAGGTCAAGAAAAGTCAAAGGTATAGAAATAAGGTCAAATGTAAAGAAACAAGGTCAAGAAAAGTCAAAGGTATAGAAATAAGGTCTAATGTAAAGATACAAGGTCAAGAAAAGTCATGGGTATAGAAATAAGGTCAAATGTAAAGATACAAGGTCAAGAAAAGTCAAAGGTATAGAAATAAGGTCAAATGTAAAGAAACAAGGTCAAGAAAAGTCAAAGGTATAGAAATAAGGTCAAATGTAAAGATACAAAGTCAAGAAAAGTCAAAGGTATAGAAATAAGGTCAAATGTAAAGATACAAGGTCAAGAAAAGTCATGGGTATAGAAATAAGGTCAAATGTAAAGATACAAGGTCAAGAAAAGTCAAAGGTATAGAAATAAGGTCAAATGTAAAGATACAAAGTCAAGAAAAGTCAAAGGTATAGAAATAAGGTCAAATGTAAAGATACAAGGTCAAGAAAAGTCAAAGGTATAGAAATAAGGTCAAATGTAAAGATACAAGGTCAAGAAAAGTCAAAGGTATAGAAATAAGGTCAAATGTAAAAACAAGGTCAAGAAAAGTCAAAGGTATAGAAATAAGGTCAAATGTAAAGATACAAGGTCAAGAAAAGTCATAGGTATAGAAATAAGGTCAAATGTAAAGAAACAAGGTCAAGAAAAGTCAAAGGTATAGAAATAAGGTCAAATGTAAAGATACAAGGTCAAGAAAAGTCATGGGTATAGAAATAAGGTCAAATGTAAAGATACAAGGTCAAGAAAAGTCAAAGGTATAGAAATAAGGTCAAATGTAAAGATACAAGGTCAAGAAAAGTCATAGGTATAGAAATAAGGTCAAATGTAAAGAAACAAGGTCAAGAAAAGTCAAAGGTATAGAAATAAGGTCAAATGTAAAGATACAAGGTCAAGAAAGATCAAAGGTGTAGAAATAAAGTCAAATGTAAAGATACAAGGTCAAGAAAAGTCAAAGGTATAGAAATAAGGTCAAATGTAAAGATACAAGGTCAAGAAAAGTCATGGGTATAGAAATAAGGTCAAATGTAAAGATACAAGGTCAAGAAAAGTCAAAGGTATAGAAATAAGGTCAAATGTAAAGAAACAAGGTCAAGAAAAGTCAAAGGTATAGAAATAAGGTCAAATGTAAAGATACAAGGTCAAGAATGGAATTCAACCGTCCTCAAATGCATGAAAACAAGGTAATGAATGCCAAACAAGTTTATGGTATAGAAACAAGGTTAAGAAAAGGTCAAAGGTATGGAACCAGGGTCGAGCAATACCTTTCGGTGTCTAATCCTCCACTGAAACTACATCTTAAAATACTTCTCTATAAATGTGGAAATGTTTCTGCAAACCAAAGTTGATAAATATTCAAATATAGATTTTTAACATGTGCAACATATTAAGTATATGACAAATACATAGTTTGCTCTGCCATGAAGTGAAACGTGACAAAAGAAAAACCTTACAAAATAAACAAACCTTTTTCCGTTTTGTTTTCTTGAATCTAAAGAGCAAAGGAACTGCATTGGAAGGACAACAGTCATATACAGCATCTGACCCAGAGCCCTGAAACAAATCAAGTCAGGAAATATTGGATAGTTATAGTATCTGAGGGGATAAGGTCTGACTTTACCAATTTATAAATTTGTTTTTTATTTTTTTAATCAATTGTGTATCAACTATTAATTTTTTTGTAAATCAGTTGAATATCAAAATCAACATTATACTTTTCATCTCATTTTTGAAAAGAATTTTTTTTATACAAAATTGTTTATCTCTTGCTAAAGCTTATTGCAGATGCAAAATCACCTCAAATTATTGACTTATTACCTCATCTTTGTAAGACTTTACACACAGATTTTTCTCTTAATGAAAATCACCATGATGAAAATACAAATTATTGGTGAAATGGCACAATGTTAACACCATTGCCTTTCACCTAATTATCTGTGGTGTGTTTCCTAAATAGACATGAAAAATACAGAATGTACTTGGTATAAAAGCCTATCACTATGACCTTTGACCTACCCGGATTTGTATGGGGAGGTCAGTCTTGTTAAGGACCCAGTAAGGGCTGTAAAAGTACAGGTCAAGCGATAATTTTTCCTTGGCATTTACAATGATGGTCAGTTGTTTGTTATTGTTTTCATCTGCAGCACAGTCATACGGTGCCATTGACACTGCTTTGAACTCCTCCAGTCCTTGAGTGATTTCAAAGATTCCAGTCCAATCACAGCCTATATAGTCTTGTAACTGAAATTAAAAAAAACTTATACTGTAAAAATTATACATTTTCGTAGAGCTAAATTTTCACGCTTTTCAAAAAAAACAAAAATAAAAATTATTGGGACACTTGATTTTGTGGACAAGTACAGTTTCATATAACCTCTTATACTGATTTTTAATAGTTCATCGGCATATGAATTACGTATTAGATGAATCATGACCACAAATAAATTATTAAAATAAACGTCCACCAAAAATGAATAATCTATGCACACAAAGGTATGTTTGCTAAGGCTATGTTACATTCCTTTAACATTCTATAAATAACCATTACCACTGGAATTATCCCAAAATTACCAGAAAGTTATTGATAATGTGTACTGTATTGAAATTTTCAATAACTGACAAAAATAAATTCCCCTTCATTTTAGATATTTTGCATTCATATCATAAATTTGCCTGCAACACTAGCATGGTAGCATACCTCAATAACGGTTATGAAATTAACATTTGCTAACATTTTCAATAGACACATTCATGGAAAACAAAAACAAATATAATGCCATACGAGACTTGAATACCTTATACTGCATACAGTCAATATATTTTTTTGTACAATGAAATATTTCTGGTTTTTAATACATTTTAATTTTGAAACAGAACATTTTCCTGAAATATCATGAAATTAAATGTAGTTTTTGATATAGCACAATAATCCTAGATTTTTAAACATGACAATACACTTGCAGAAATATAACATTAAATGCTTAATGTGATATCAACATCAGCTTGACCACATGGTCAGAGTGGACACCAATTGACCGTTACCTGTATATGAAGACTTTGATAAAGTATAATAATTCTTGATTTTATAAACATGAGGCTTAAGTCAACACTTCTGATATCAACCTGAGCTTGACCAGAAGGTCAGAATGGACATGAGTTGACCGTTACCTGGATGTGTAGTTTTTGAGGACTAGCTTGCTCCACTGTATAAAGAGGTGTGCTCTCTCCATGGGTGAGACTGCTGAAGTTTCCTGTACCCTGGGGAACAATCAGATAAATAACAATCATCACAGAGCAATATTACAGTTATTTCTTTCATTCTTCTCTTTCTGCCCTCCCTCCTTCTCTTTCTTCAAATTTGTTAGTTTCCTTGTTTCCTTCTTTTTTCTTTTCTTTTTTCAAATTTCTTTCTTTCTTGCCTTTTTTCAAATTTCTTTAAATTTCTTTTTTTCTTGACTTCCTATAATTTTTTGTCTTTCTTTCTTTAATCAAATGATAAAATAATTCATTAGCCTAATAAAGGAATCAGTCTGAATAATGAAATGTTTCATCTAGTAAAGGGAGATAATTTGGTATTACCTTATCGTCAATATGTACCATCTTCATCTTTAAGAAAGATAAAAAGAATACCTCTGCGTTAATTATTTAAGAAAATAATTATCTGATGCAACTGGTACCAACCTCTAAAGAAAACTGGATGTCGTAAGGCAGATAGTTGTGGATCATGACAGGTGCTTTCACGTGTAGGACATAGTAAGGTACACCCTTGGGGATCTCCTGACTGGGCTGTAACTTTGTTCGTTCCTTACACAAAACCTGTTGTAAAAAATTAATAATCTTGTATTAATTACTTTAGAATTCTCAACAATTGTGAGTGAAGAACTTTCTTAATGAAACAGTTTTAGCCATTTTCTTCCATAAGTACTTCCACAGAATTTCTGGTAGCACGTATTACTCTAGTCCTCGTTGAAAAGTTCATTTCGCTTCCTTGTCCCCATGTGGATACTACAGAAAAGTCTTCCAACCCCTATCTCGTGCCTCAATAAAGAGCCAAGCTGGAAATCCTGCTGACAAACTCAGCTCTTACTGAGCTATAAATAGCTATGTTCTGAGGACAGCATACCTAGTGTGCTGAAACCTGTTAACTATTAAACAGGTTTAATTCTTCCTGTGGATGTTGTCTGGTCCTCTATATAATGATTTAACCCAGTTACCAATATTAGCATCATTGAGTATATCTTCTGTTACAGAATGTAGCAGAACAAAACCCGAATCTGATTGAAACCTGAAACCAACATTTCAATCTGGCAAAACCAATTAATCTTTACTGTATTTAAATTTCAAAGTCAATGTACTTGACCTAATTGAGCATGGTAATGACCTTGACCTTCATTTTAATTTCTATACAATTACTCAATAGATATATATTTCTCACTCACTATATGTTACAATTAAATGACTTTGAGCAGTAACATTTTTTACAGTGGTTTATTTTTTTCCCCTGTAATGACCTAGACATTGTAAATGACCTTGATACTGACCTTGAGGTTGAATGACCTGTCTTCCCCAGAGCCTTGACAGGTAAAACATTTTGCCTTCTCCTTTGTCATCAGGAGGTCTTTCCAGTAGATCCCTTTGTTGTGAATCTGGTACCGACTGCCAAATATACCAAGTACAGTGTGATAACAACTCTACACATAAATACCTTCTGATGACTTCAAATTAAAAAAAAATTGTTTAAAATTTTTTTTATCTGTTTCCTTTGTTGCCATATTTTTCATTTTCTCTCTCTCTGTCTCTATCTCTTTCATTTTCTCTCTCTGTGTCTCTCTCTCTGTCTCTCTCCCTTTCTCTCTCTCTCTTTTTAATGTTTACCTTTTCCAAAATATTGCCATTCTGTTATCATACCCTTGAAATATCTACATGCTGTTTTAATAACAGGTTGTGATATATTCTAATCAAACAATTTCTCTAAGTTACTGTATTTTTTAATGCTTCAAATTCTCAAGGATTTACAAAATTATTGAAGCAAACGAGATGCATTTATCACTGTTGTCATTAAAGAACCAATTTTTCTCATATCAATTCCATTGTTAAAGAAGTTATTCTCTCCCCCTCCCCCCCTGTCCCCGAATGTATTCCATTCCGAGAATACCAAAAATTATATCACCTCAGGAATAACTGTACTAAAATTATCATTTTAGCAAAATCTTTTTTTTTTCGCAATTTCAAGCAAGGTTTAAAATGAGCAGTGAGTATACCTTAGTTGCGTGGGGCACACAAACAGGTCACAGTGGTAGGCCAGAAATAAGGGTACATTGTAGTCTTGGTCCGGAGCTAGTGTGGTCAATTTTGTGTACTCCTTACTGCCAAGGAAATCCCTTTCTGGTAGATACTTCTCAAGGTCAGCGGTCTTACACAGGATGTTGAGGTCAAGGGTCAAACTATTCTTGATCTAAGGATGATAAAGATTCAGTAAGATATTTATCAGTTTGTATACAATAGTGTTGCCAACCTAAAGCGAACCTAATATCAGGTCATTACCCTTCAAAATCACGGCTGACAGGGCGTTTTAAAGGAACATCAAGGACAAACAACCTTATAATCAATTCTACAGTACAGGTATCACATCTTTACAAAGTTAAATGATGCCCTATGTTATGTTTGAACATTATTTTGACTATATCAGATCCAAAAATTAATTGAAACTTTTAAATATTGATAAAAAGAAAAGAAAAATCAAGGGATTCTAGAATTTTTCACAATTTGAGGTCATGGTATGGCCAATATAATGCTGACTTAACAAAATCAGGTGTGATGTATGTTCACAATGAAACAAGGAAAATTAATCATATTTGTACATGTTACAGTTAATGATAAAAGAAATAACATTATTTCATAAATTATGGCAAAACTGTCATCTCTTTGAAAACAAGCGTTTAATTTGTTATTTATATCATTAATTACTGGCAATTAATTAAGATACAAGTAGTTAAACCTCTAACTGACCTTGAGAGGCGAGAGAATGTTGATGACCTTGCGACCATGGGATACATCAATATCCAGCAGAAACCAGTACTTGATGGAATGCTGAAACACAAAGAAGACATCTTACCACGAAATACATTATAATATTTCACCCTATAAAAGAGATATTACTGCAGCTTCTGTCTGTAGTAGATATTGACTTCATCAAGAAAAGATAAAAATCTCTTCCTGGCACTTTTCTAGTGTCTACTAATCACATTTCATTTACATGGAGCTGACTAATGTAATGCCTCATTGTAAACTTTGTAGTAAAATATTCATTTTAATAATCATATTTTCTTTAAAAATAATTCACTTTTTTATTAATAAAACTGTTAACATGTTGCTCACTGACCAATTCAAGTTTTTCATATATCTAGAAATTTTCAAATTTTGCTGCATTGAAGAATTTTTGTACACATTACATCCTCATGTATATCACTTAGCATTCTAATTTTTTATATTATCATTTAAACATGCCAGTAACACTCAATGTATAATACACCAGACTTAAATAGACTTTTTACAGATACTGACACTAATTTCACAGATTATCTGAAACAGTTGTCTAAGATTCTGTATGAGTAGAGCTAGAAAAGAAAATTATCAAAATATTTTTTTTTCATGATCAGTAATCAAACCTCTCTACAAAGGCCACTTTTAATATGCAGACTGTGAGTTATATTAGGTGGTCCTTAAATGGGGGTACAATCATGATTAGCATTACATTGTAACCTGAAACTAGTGACCTTTATAGACAGACATTTGTGATTATACAGGCGACCTTTCAGACAGGTTTAACTGTAATAAAAGAGGGAGATAACTCTTACTAAGCACTATTTTTCTTAAAAAAAACAATGGGTTTCATGCTCTTTGCCACTTAAATTTTTGATAAATCTACATTAATTTCTGCAGAGGAAATCTGACACAAACACACAGAAAATGAAATATAAAAATTACTACACACAACATCCATGCTCACCAATAATTTACTGAAAACGAAAGCTTACATTTGAATCATTACAATAACTTAATTTGTAAGTCAAAAATTATATTTGTATGATATCCTACAAAATTGAATGTTCATGAATAACAATTAAATCATTTCAAAAGAACTAATGCCAAGCTTAACATCATTTTCACCACAGATTTAGGAAAATCAGAACAAAAGGTCAAAAGATCCTGTATCGCTGACCCGCTCCGCATCTTATAGAGAGATAAATAAATTTATTCTGTTTGATTTTGTTGTCATTTTAAACATCATACCCCTCCTTTGAAGCAGGTGCTGCATATAACCCATTTGTCCTTAAAAGTGTGTCAAGGTCATTCATATAAACAATCTTTATAGCCCTTCATCCCTGTATGTTACTGGTCCAATAGCATGACCCATGGCCTCTTGATTATTGAGAAGATTCTGTTTAAATATTTTACCACAGTTGGCCGCTGTGATCTTGAAACTGGGCCATGTTCATTCCTTTCTACAAATTCTGGTATTCCTTTATCCCAGCATCCTACTGGCATTATATCATAACACAAAGGTTTTGGCTATTGTGAGAAACTTGTTTTAAAATTCTGAAACATTTGAAGTTTGGGACTTTAAAAGCAGGTCTAATTCCTTTATATCGCCTTACTACTGTCCTAATATCATGACCCTTGGCATCTTAGTTATTGAGAAGAAGTCATCTGAAGGGAAAAGTTGAGTTGGTAGGGACGATGGATGGACATTGGACAGTTGATGAACTGATACTCCATTGGGGAAAGCATGTTTGTCATTCAGCCCAGAGAAATATAAGTATGAACATTTTTTAGGTGAAAAGCTTGCTAGGATTTTGTGTTATACATCTGACTACACTGCAAACTAACACATTTAACTTCACAAACAACTACTATTATTCAAATTACAACTACTGAATTCTGTTATCATATTCAACCAAATCAATCTCCTTACCTAGACTAGGACTGATGCAGAAAATACCTGTATTTACCAAATTAGAAAAAAACACTCAGAAATATATGAAAGGGCTCCCATAGAGAAAGATCAAAGTGACAGCAGTGATACCTTGATGAAAGTGGTCTATTGACAGTAGTGAAACCTTAATAAAAGCGGTCTCTTAATAAAGGAGTTATGGTCTCTTGACAGAGGTGGTCTCTTGACAGAGGTGGTCTCTTGACAGGATTGGTCTCTTGAAAGGAATGGTCTCTTAATAGGAGTTTTCTTTTGTATAAGGTAGATCCTTATCAAAAGTAGTCACTGGACAGGTGGTCTGTTAACAGGATTGGTCTCTTGACAGAGGTAAACTTTTGAAAAACATGGTCTCTACATCAGTAGTTCTCTTGACTGGAGCTTTCTCTTGTCAGGAGTAATCATTTGGCAGAGTGCCCTCTGAGTTGAAGTGGTCTCTCAACAGAACTTAGAAGTGGCCTCTTCACAGGAGTGATGTCTTATGAGGAGTGGTTTCCTGAAAGAAGTGGTCTCCCAATGGAAGTCAGAAGTGGTCTCATAACAGGAGTGGTGTTTTGACACAGGCTACTTCCTGACAGAATTGGTCTCACAACAGAAACAGAAGAGAGATGTGGTCTTTTACCAGAGGTGATCTCTTGACAGAAATGATCTCACAATAAAACTTTTAAGTAGTCTCTTGACTGGAGTGGTGTCTTTAACAGAGGTGGTCTTTTAAGAGAGGTAGTTCTTGAGTATTATCTCATTGACCTGAAAAGTCTGTACAAATTATTTTCACCTTCCATACAAATTTTTTTATTCGGACAAAATAACACATGTATTGATAAATGGTGTGTTAACTCAGCAGGTGCTTTCCCCTTTTTTGTGTGTATATATTGCTGATTTGATACAGTGGTGTTGAAAATGATGCAGAACTCGTCTCTGAGTAAACTGAGTCATTTTCATATAAATTTGGAAAATGGAAATGAATAGTATGAAATATTGTACAACTTGAAGGCCTTAGAACCAATGGTCAAATGACATAGTGGATAGAATGCATGCATCTGTCAAAACTTTCAAACTTTGATTCTTTAATCAAAGACAAAGACCACTTGCCTGACCAGATGTGAGTTTTCTCAATGTTATGCTATGTATTGATAAAATAACACCCACTGTGTTTCACTCAGGGACATCAAGCCTGATCAATACATAAATATGAAACTCGTTCCAAAAATTTGTTTCTAAATTAACAGACAACTGATATATACATGCAGACAACACTGATAACTGATGCCACATTCTTCTATATTGTAACTAACAACATTAACAACATCCATCAAAAACTGTCTACCTTAATGATGTCAGAGGAATCCTTTCGCTGGTAGATAAAACACAAGACATAAGTATATCAAACTGACTAAGTTTATATTTTAAATTTAAGTTAAAACTTAAACACACCAGAAATTAATACATGATATATTCAAGGTACATCAGATCAGTTTTGTGATTAAGGAATATCAAAATTTTTACAAAACTTTTTTTTATTAAAATGTAATTCAAACCAAATGTTAGCTTAGTACAGGGTGAATGAGAACAACAAATTATCTCTTGATAAAATCGACTGCTATTGTATTCTGGAAGTTCTCTGAAATACAGGTATTTCAAACATCAGCATATACAAAGCTAATAACCATTTTTGATATATTCTGAAAAAAAAAACTAACATTGGGTTATAATTTCAGTAATTATTTTCTTGTGTCTAGAAGTGAAATAAAATTATTCTTTCCACAAAATAAATCTGAAACAATGACCTAATTGTAAAGTATTTGGAAAAATCTTTTAATGTGATTTTTAATCATTATCATTACTTTTTCTCTATTTTTTCTTCCAAATGAAAAAAAAAAAAACACAAAAATAATTTCTCGTTGATATACCTGGATGAAGATTTAAAGACATAGAAAATAAATTATTATACCTTATCAGGTGTGAGAGGGATCAGCTGTAGACAGGCTCTCCTGTGTAGGATAGTTGATGTAAGGTCAAAACCATCTACCTGCAGAAATATAGGAAAAATGTTTTCTCATCTCCTGTTGTTTTAAATTAGATCTTTCAAACTAGCAGGTTGAATAATTATCCACTTGTTACAATGATATAAGTATAGTAAATACCATAGTATGTGAAAGTTCAACAAATACTTTCTTACCTAGTTGAAGAATAGTAGGCTGTATTTGACAGTAACTACCTTTCCAAGAAATATGGGCATTTGAATTGTTTAAGATTTTCACAAATTTTAAATACTAACATGTTCAGAGTTTATAATTCAATGGTTTCTTGTGTTGGAATTTTAAAACATCATAAAATTAAGGGGGGAAAAATGTTAAAAAGGCATAATGTAAAATTCCCCACATCTCTTTGTGTCCCTGCCTGCTTTCTTACCTGTAGTCGGAGTCTGTCCTGGTTCATGTCTGCTCCGGAGAGGTAGTCGTCATCATCGTCAAACACAAAAGCTCCAGCAGAGGTCAGCACATGAGCTGCAGTGCCCAGAGCATGTGTCAGCAGTCCATTTGTAGGACTACAACAAACACTATCATGTTTGAGCTTTTATTCCACTATTTGCTACGAATGCATACATTTGTTCCATATGTGGTTTGTTTGAGGTCTGTTTGTACCTAAATGGTAGCGAATTGTCATATGAGGACTGATGCATCAGATATGGATCAAAGCAACGATATACAGGTCACATCACCAGATGAATAGGTCACATTTCCAGATATAGGTCATATTACCAGATATAGGTCACAGCAGAAAATATAGGTTACATTTTCAGATATAGGTCATATTACCATATATAGGGCACAGCACCAGATATAGGTCACATAACCAGATATGTCATAGCACAAGATACAGGTCACAGCACCAGATATAGGTCACAACACAAGATATCACCATATATAGGTCACAGCACAATATATAGGTCATATCACCAGATGTAGGTCACACCACCAGATATTAGTCACATTACAAGATATGGGTCACTTTTTTCTTTCTAGATTATTGACAATCATGGAAACATCAATCTATGTTGACTTGATTTAATCAAATAACCTTCACCATATGACCTCTCACCTTTCCACTATGGCCTCATCTACCCCATTGTAGGTACTACGTGGAATGATCTGTAGGTCTGACGTCTCATCTCCTGCTCGTTTAACTGTGCAGCCAGTCACATTGTCTTCATATACCTGGGGAGCATAGAAATTAGAATGTCTATACTTATACTGCTATTCACCCTGTGGGCCAGAAAATTTGGCTCAATATAAGAAGAGATTAAGTTCAGATGAGGAGGATGATATCGGTTATTATTGACATATTTTGATGGTAGTTATCCATTTGTTTGTTTGGTTGGAGGGTTTATCACTATATATCTTTATTGGGGGTCTTCTTGTAGTAGCTGGTGTCTTCCTGAATGAAAACCATGTGGAAGGCCCACTATATGCTATGCAGAGAAATGAAATAGAGTGTTATGCCAAAGTAGTAAAGTCAAAACAGCATAGGAAAGTCCTGAATTCAACTATCAGAGAAACACAGTCCATCCTTGGTATAAAAAGGATCACTGTACTAAAAACCTCAGATCTCCACCAACATCATACCAATGGAGTTATTAACCCATTAACTCTACTGAACAGCAATATATATGGGTGGGTTTATCATTGAGCCTGGGCTTATTGCTGGATAAATGCAATAAATTTCACACCTGGATGTGTTATGTAAACATCGTCACTGCCCTACTGGCCAACATTTCACACTTTTCGACTCCCAAACTATAAGATTGACCTACGTACCTGTAAGGTCCAGCTAGGTCGAAGGAAGTCTAGTGTGTTTGTTTGTCTGTGTATTACTATAGGTATATCTAGAACATCATTCCTTGTAAACTGGTGCCTGAATTATTTACAGGAAATATTGAGTTAAAACAGAATCATATTGCTAGACTTCAATTATAAACCAATGTCTTCCAATGACATTATTGGCTGTTTTGCCTACCTTGATATCCTGATGGAGGGTCACGGTGCTATGAATGCCAATCTGAGAAAAAAAAATATGACATATAAATTAAAAACATATAACCCAGAATCTAAGACTCTACTTGGTCAAAAAATATGCAATTAAAAAATGAATTGTTACAAAATTGTTTCTCATAAAATCATTACCTATTTATTGTATTAGATACACTTTTACATACAGTGTACAAGAATATCTCATTTCTTAAATTTTCTATTTATTAAACTCAGAGTAACTTTGCTCTTTTTAAATTTCTGATTGTTGTGTCACCATTAGGATTACCATGTTGTGAAGTTCAAATGCTGGAAGGTCTTTACAATCGAAGTGTAGTGATGCCGGGGAGGTGAGCGCCTATAACACACAGAGAGATACATTTTTAATACACTATATATATGTACAGAAATAGAACATTGTACACTTATCAAAAACAGAGAAAATGGTTTTGATATCACAGACATCTTATACAAATATAATATATAAAGAGAAATAGAATATCATAGTCTTACAGGGTACATACAAAAATATAGGAGAAATGAGTAATCATATACACATGCAGAACATATATACAATGTGCTTCCTCGTCATATTTTGAAGATATTATATATGGTATTACATGCTTATCAAATATTCCTAGTGCAGGAAAAAAAAGAGCTGATCTAACACTTTCAGTTTAAGAAAAAATAGTTTATCCAACACTTCTAACATAAATAGAAATTGTAGTTAATCAATAATTATCAGTGAGAAATAGTTTATCAAACTTCAGGTATGAGAAAAAGTGGTTTATTATATTGTCCAACTAAAGAGAGAAATAGTTTATCAAACATTTCATTACTGTTACCTGTGATATATCTGTCAGTACATGTATAGCCTGTGGTGTGACATTAAGCTGTAGTTTGTCCTGAGATGCTACCACAACGTAATTACATTGCGGTCCGATAACCTCTTCTTCTTCCTCCTCAATCCTGCCATCCACCTGGTCAAACCCCACACCACTCTCCACTGTGTGTAGGTCAAGCAAACTAGAGATTAAATGCTATCAAACACCTCCATTATTGTTAAATCAATTTGGAGTACGGTAACCAAATTTTAGCAGTTTATCATTTATTGGCGAATTCACACCTTGATAAATTTATGCGTCTACCATAACTGTTATAAAGGCAACATATTCTGGTGTAATTTTTTCAGCTGATTGAACTAAAATCAGATCACCTCCAGATTATGTACATTTACAATAAAATATAATGAAAATTAAACTTAGAATTTCTGCTCCTGTACGTTCCTCTACAATTTTGTGCAATACAACCATGGTATGATAAAGGATTGTAAAAGACAAGAAAATACAAGTTGAACTTAAACTAGATATCATTGTCATTTTTATACAGATACAATATCATGATTCAATATTACAGAAATAAATCACATTGTATTTTTCAAAATGTCTTTTTTAGCATAGAAACATGTCCCCATTTCTACTTTGTGTAACAGATTACCACTCAGTAGATATTATAGTGATTGAGTTTTGATTTCTTAAATTAATCATAAACATCAATTTGGATAAAGAAGAAAATTTAGATAAATTAACAGTAGACAATCACACTAATTATCAATATTTACCTGAAAAACCTGAAGCCAAAGTTTAGAGAAACAAAAATAAATAGACAAAGCAATTTGATGTAAGAGCATTTGAAGGAAGGCTTAAAAAACAACAGTAAGAAAATGTGGGGCGGATGAATCTTAGTATGAATCAATTGATAAAAATGGGGTCATACCGTTTATGTTTTTAACAAAACTGCCAGCCTGTAAAACCACACAATGAATGAAGATTCCAAAATAAAACTAAAAAGTGTCTCAAACAAATGAACCAAAAACTAGCTTTTAAGTTATAAAGTCAATCTGAGTAAAACTGATGATCAGAAATTTCAAAAAATTCTCAGAATCTACCAAATTTAATCAAAATATTCTCACTTTGAAATTTTTATAGATCGTTTGTCAAAGTGATTTGTATTAGTTTGTTTAACAGGTGTTTGATTGTTGGTTGGGTTGGTTTATCAACCTGTTAACAGTCAGAATCAATACAGTAAAGTGGTATCTGGTGGCTACCTCAATGAACAACATACAGGAGGCCCATCACATGATTTCCAGAGCAATTATAGTAGGGACACAACAACTAGTCTGTTCTCAGTTTCCCAAGAAACACAAACCACCCACCTTAATATATAACCAACTAACAGTCCTGACAAGCTCTCTATCTGATAATGAAGTGCTGGGCATTTTCTAAAAGCATTTCTGAGTTCTTTGATTGATTATAATTGATAATTGTAACTACAAAGCCATCTAGCTAAACTAGATAAACGATTCTAAAATTTTACTGACTTGTACAATATATACAACTAAAAGTGTCTACACCACACTAATATGTGTATGAACTTCACTTAAATACATAATGATTATGATGACTCGGAAAAGCAGTAACCTTTTCTGGCGTGTTTGTGATATTGAGACCTCACTTGGTGCCTAGCAAGGCACGGCCAATGACATTTGATGGCGTTACGAAATCTGCGTGCTGAAAAAAATTGATGAAAAGAAAGACAACTGAATACTTATACACAAGAAAAAGACATAATGAAATCAGAACCATAACACAGATAAAAACAAATTAATTTTGTGAAGGGTTAGTAGGTTAGTGATTAAGCAGTGTCAACTTCAATATTGTAAATCACTAAATATGTTTTGAGAAGTCATATATATAAGATGGACTTACAAAAATTTTTAAATGGCCCATCTTTTTGAAATCAGCATGTACGCAAAAGAGAAAACATGTTTAAAAAAACTGAGTTAAAAAATTTAATCAAAAAATTTCTAATCCTGGTGCTTTTTAGTGATTTACATTATCTTTGGTGAAAATTCGCAAGATCACAAGCTGAGGAAAAAAAGATTCAAAACTACACTAAAATCAAAACCAAGTTATCTAAAAATCATGCCTTTCTACATGACATGACAGAAACTAAACTTAACATCAAGCACGGCATTCAACAACATGCAAAAAAAAAAAAAATTTTTTAATTTTGTCATAACATGCTTAAAATGTAACAAACTGAAATTTGGAATTCATACAAATTGCATCCCGTAAAAAAACATTCACCGGAACTGAAATGAAAATCGCTGCAGGATAAATGGCCACAACTATGAAACATCTGGCAAACGTTCACAACAACAAAGAAGTCTACAGGAATGAATGGGTCATAAAATCAGATTTACCCATGGAGACCTGGACAGGCCCTTTGGGGGTCAGGAATACAGGTTTATCTAACGAAGGATCATGGAGTTCATCCGTGTCTTCAGTTTCACTGACATCAGCGTCATCGCTACTGTCGTCAGAAAAGATTCCGCCGAGTTTGTTGGTAATGCTGTGGATGAGGCCGTCCGGCTCTGTGTCAGACTCACCCTGAATACTACCCTGTTTTATAGATTCTGGAACAAACACCGTCTTATTGTGGTACTCATTATACATCACCTTCCCTAATTGTAGAGGTATATGTAGAAATATTTCTCCTTCATTTTTCACACAGAATAAAACCTGGAGTTCTGACTTCTAGTACAATGAATTGCAGGCACATTGTGTTTTTATCTTCTAATATTAACTATGCCTTAAAAAAGTAATTCCGAACACTATAGAGTAAATGTTTTCTCATTGTCCTGTAATAAGCCCATCCCCAACTTTGGATTGTAGATTATGTGCCAGCCCCTGGGATTATTGTAAAATAAACACAGCATATTCTATCAAATCTGAAGTATATTCTTATTTATAACCAAGATACCATCATAAATGTCACTTCTCAATGTCTATTTTGCTTATTTCCAAAAACTGGATGATAATGCTTTGACATATGGAGTATATCACAGCACAGAAACAACCAGTCAGAGTTTCGATTATATACTCAGATGCAGGCTGATCTGAGATGAGAAAAAGACATCTGTAAGCATTCCCTTATGACTCCAAAATTTGCAGGAAGTAAACCAAAATGCAGTCAAAATTCTCAATTATGTATTTTCTTTATCAACACATAACTGTACCTATTGTAACTCCTGGACATACAATTATTACCTACAGTCGAGGTCATTACAGAAACTTACTAACCTGGAAATCCATGGAATGTACGACAAAACAATACAGATCTATTACAGTCTGAATAAGGGAGAATCCCAAAGTTAAAGAACCTCTTAAATAGTGCAAACATGGTCTTCAGAGGAGGAACAATTTTTCGTGAACCTTGAAACTATTTTGTCAACCAAATGCAATTCAAGAACCATTTGTTTCCACGATAATCTATACTTTGAAACATCACACACATGCAGATTATACTTGAATATGCCTAGCAAGCCTCTTCCCATATATATGTGTCATGAACAACACATTATTATGTCATTTCTATAATTATATATATTAAATGCTTGCATGTAAATATTAGAATAAGCCTGGTTTAAAGCTATAAGCATTTAAATCGCACAACCTCCAAACCACAATGATAAGTAACAAGTTTATACCAAAGTCTCTACGACATACATGCCTGGTTCATCAACTTTTTTGGGGTTATTAATCAATAAATATTCAGCATTAATTAAAACTTTATCCTTAATTTTCACATCGTTGATTTGTTCCAGGAAAAAAAACAGTCTTACACTAATACATGTCAATTTCATAATTCTTTGATAGATTTGGAGCAAACTACATGTCAATTACTGTCAAAATATCATCCATCATTTGTAAATTTCATTGCAAGATTAACAACAACGTTTTCAAGGTCACTTTAGTGCAGAAAGGTAATGAATTTTTCCTTCACTAGAACCACAGATTAAAAACAAATTCTACATGGGTTGACAAGTACAAGTGAAGTTCATAAGGCTTCATTTTCAACCTGAATATTTATTGTTTAATTACCAATATCTGAATCCATGAAACAAGTTTAAAAAAGACTGTATGCACTAGGTGCAAAATATATTTTTTCATGTCAGCAATAATTACCATAACTTAAGTATATTCCATAAAGCATGAAAAACCTCAAATCAATGAAATTGTGCTGAGTTAGAATTATAACGATATTGTTATCTGTGATTTAGATACAGTTTTCAATAACTCGATCAGTGTCACCGACCTGTAGTCATTTCATATCCTTCAAAATCAAGGGTGATTGGGTTTTTTCAGGGGTCACCATGTTAAAAGACCTCATAATGAATTCTGTTGTATAGTTACTACATCTGTTTATTTTGAGATGATGTATTTGAACATTATTTTATGCAAAAGCAATTCAAATTTTTTTTTAAATTTTCTAAATAATGATCAAAAATCAGAAAATCAAGTGACTAGCATTTTACACAATTTCAGCAGGTAGATCCTAGGGCCATTCTCAGGTTAACATGATGAAATCCAGTTGGTTGGTGACAATGACAATGAGCAGATCATCACTACTTGTTAGAGTGTTATATATCAGAATGTGACAAGGAAACAGTATTTATGTAATCACTTCCTCAAAGTTAGTAACATAGACCATATTAGTATCAATTACACAATAAAATCAAATATTATTCTAAAAGATAAAATTCATCATCATTTATTATAAAACTTATCTTTCATCTTATATCTTACATCTTGATGAATTAAATCATGCCTTAGAGTTTTATCATTACATTAATTAGATAGTAAATGGTAATGTCTTCAGATTTGATATCTTTTGTATTGTAAGATTATATTCATAAAATGTTTAAAAAAAGACATTTTGAAATACCATAGCTCTTGTCACTTGCAATTCTGGACCGTTTTCGTGGTAATTTGGGTCGGAGAACGGTCATTTCAGTGGACTCGTCTGTCTCCGACTCTGAGCTGCTTGACCGATGTCGACTGTTGTGTAGCAACTGTTGGACATCATTACGAAGACAATCCTCCATATTGAATCCTTCTTGTACATAATTAAAGGTCATAGGGTAACTCCGCCCTCTTATCACCTAAAAAGCACAAGGTCATGATAAAGGTCAAATGTCATCTTATCAATATAAAAGGTCATGATTTAAAAGGTCATAGGGTAACCTGACCATCTGATCATCTATTATTCATGAGGTCATGGCAATAGAGGTCAAGGGTCACTTATGTGTCAATATGTTAATTTGTAAAGTGGAAGGTAAAATTATGCACATACTTTTTTAAAATTTAAAGTCATTTTCAATAAAGGTTTCAACTGCAAATCTGTCTCCAGAAATTCATTAAACTATGATATTTACCAACAAATTATGATATCGTTTATGTCTTCTTTTTATCTAGTAAAAAATGTACCTGTCCATTAAAATGGAGAAACCAGTTAAAAACTTTCTCCATTAAAACAATTGTAAGCGTTAATTGCTTCAATTTACTGATAATATTTTACTGCTAAGCAATTATTTCGTGCTTATAAACTGACCTTGATGACCACTTCCCAAGGTCTGTAGACACCTTCCTTCTCTGAAACAGGTTCCACAAGCGGTTCCCACACACTGAGTCTCTCATTGAAAAAGTCCACCTGAAGGTTCATTTCTGCATTCATGTGAAACTACAATTTACCAAATATAGAAATCAGTCGAAGATGACAATGAAAAGAATCTTGGTATCACAGATTTGAATAGTGCCACAATAGAAGAGTTTCCCAAATTGCCGAACTTTGGAGGTAAAAAAAATCTATGAGAATGAGAAAAAATTGCAAAGATTCCTAGATGGTCCTGTTGGAGATCACTCATAATTCTTAAGCAACAATGAATATACCATTTACAGCCCAAATCCTCCACTTTAAATTCAAAACATTTTGAAATTCAAACAAATACAGCGTCTTGTAATTAAATTTTGAGTTAAGGTAGAATCTGTGTGAATTCAGAGCAGTTTTCAGTCTACCACCAATAAAGAATTCATTTTGTGGCAAGGATTTTTCTAGTTGGAAGTTATTTTCATGCTTGATAATAAAAAACAATCAATAAACACAAGAAAAAATATGATTATGATAAAAAATAAAAATAGGGCTCGTAAACACAGATCTGACTGACCAATCACACTCAGTCATTTGGACCGAAGCCAGGAAATTTTTACCTTAGATAAGTGATGCCTGAATGTTTCATACAAAAGAGTAAATTTTGGTAGAATTTAGAAGGGATTAATCACAAAACACATTCAACGAAAATGCAGTTTTCGACTAGTGTTTGAATCATCCATGTTTAATTAACTTAGATAAAGAAGAGAAAAAATGGCAGAAAAAAAAAATTTGACTTATTCGATGTTTTCGATTCAAGCATGTTTGACACAAGTGAGTTTTATTGTAGCTATGTAGATTCCTATTTTCTCTTCGTTCAAAGGAAACAGACCAGACTACCTGTAGTAATCTGTCGCCATGATGATATTTGGGCAATATATATTTTTTAAAGAAATTAAAAAGCAGAGAAAGTTTAAATGTAGTACACAAATATGGAAGTGTCTTTTACCTGTTTGTTCCAGTCATGAAGATGGGAGTTCAAGGATGATCGTATGTGCAGCAGGTTCACCTGGTGGTCGAGATTACGTACTTGGAAGTAAGCATGTATCTGTTCAATATCCACGTGCAGGGTTTCTGACGGAGACCTCTGAGGTATCAGCGGGTTAAAGGAGTTGTTACTACTGTTATCTACAAACATAAATAAACACGTACATTGTAGATATTGATGGAAGTGTTAAATAGAACTCTCCTCTTATAGTTAATTAAAATGATATTAATTGCCTGATTTTCAAGTTTCTTCCATACTAGATGTTCGTTTGAAGTTTAGTTATGGTGATCATAAGTCACACAGTTTGAAGCCTGTGGTAGCCCTTGTTTATTCTACCCCATGGAAAAGATAGAAAAGAAGAAAATTCAAGTGTTGAGGAGTAATATAATTTGTTGTTGAAATGAAGAAATAGAGAAAGACAAATAATTTATCAGATGTAGGTTCTTTCTATTAAAACCCATATATGTATATACCATACTTAACAAACATTAAGCCCATGTCTGGTAATAAGCCCACCCATATATGTTACAGTACTGTTGTTGAAATATGACACAAAGTTAATTTTAATGTCCTGTTTTAAATTCAATCTCTGACCAAGAGCAAAATGTGACATGTTGGCCTCCTGGGCTTAAATCAGAACTGATTTACAGTAAACCAGTGGCTTGAAAACAAGAAGATATGATATTTGTAATCCGATACAGATCACTAAACTACAACACAGGTCACCATCCCACACTAACATGTTTCATTTTCTGAGAATAAGTCAGTCTGGAAGTAAATAAGAGAGATGTAAGGCAGTTGAACCCATACCTATCTTGTTCAGCCATTTCTCTGCAGATGTTGGTTTCACACTCCAAAGGTTTCTATAATCCTCTGTGTGTGGTGTGGCTTGATCTTCTGATGTCTGTTTTTCATATCACAATTATACATCAATATGTTACATGTAAAAGATTTACTTTAAACTTCTGTAGTGTATTAACTTTAAATCTACCATATGTTCATATACATCTATTGATCAATTATCAATAAAAGACAATAGCTGATTGGATATATTGATCACATGATTTCAACTTAATCAATTATTAAGGCATTGAAAATAACATTTTTCCCCCCCAAAACTAATTTTTTGACTGTAACAGCTGTAACAGGTTTTTTTCTTTGAGGATCACCATTCAATGTGCACTTATTTACAAATCTGAAGAAAATGTAAGTGACGAAAAATGCAATAAAAGGGCTGTCAGAGAGAGGTTATGCTCCCCAAATGGGACAAAATCAAAGTATGAAAAATAACAAAGGACAATATCTCCTAAATCATGCAAACGAGAGTGATGGTTCTTGAGCACTGCATTTCTTCTTGTTGAGATCTATCTATGTATGAAGTTTTATGTTGATATCTCTCGTAATTTTTGTTTTATGTTCCAGACAAAATCATGATGGACGGACGAACTGACAAATGGACGGACAAATGGACAGATAAAGTAGTAACTATATGCTATCCCTTCTGGGAGCATAGAAATATTAAATGTACAAATTTCACTAGAATGGATAAGAAGCAAATTGTGATAAATGAAATTTAACTTTTTAATCAAATTGGCTGTGAATATGTAAAATCTGAAACTTCTGATTAATCATATGTGCACAACATTTGAAAAAGTGTCGAACATATTTCAATGGGTGTTTTAGAATTATACCTCTGAATCTTTGTTCCCAAACAGAGCCCAAACATCAAAGGCAAAATGCAGGACACTAGGAGAGGTACAGAAGACCAGCTCTGTGATGCGGGCAGACATGTCGACATGGTTTTCTAGGATGTTGTACGTTCTCTCGAAGGTCAGATCACATGGTTGTATCACCTGTAATTAAAATGCACGTCACTTGTAATCAAGGCAGTAGGAATGCATGTCACATGTAATCAAGGCAGTAGAAATGCATGTCTTTGCATCAAGTATGCAACCTGATTTGTCCTGTAATAAGCCCAGGGGGCAAACACATTTCTTTTTCGTTCCTCTGAACTGCAATAGAAATCAGTGGTATGACTTGTACCAGGTTTTACTGATGGATAAGTATATTTATACTTATCCATTCAATTACCATTAATTTCAACAAATATCACTGAAATTATTCAAAAGTTAGAAAAACCTTTTTGTTCAAAGAGAAAAACTTATGGATACAATTCATCAACTTTAATGAAAATTTTGTCATTTTGTCTGCCATTTTCTAGCATGAATTATCCACTACAGTTGTTTCGATTGACTTTAACATACAAACAACAAGCATTACAGAGGCTTCCCACAACACTCATGATACACTTGAGCCAATTTCAGATAATATTTTATTTTTCAAAGATATAACATACAAATTATCTCTATGGAAGGGAGATAACTCCGTCAGTCTTCCATTAGGCCATATGTACTTACCCAGCTGCTGACAGTCTGTTGGGTTGAATACTGAGCAGAATACATTTTCAGATCTTTCACTTTTGATCCGAGCTTTTGTGTGTTGTCATTATTTACCATATCTACCTCAATATCAGCCTACAAATAAAGAATACAGTCAGAATATTTCAATTCATATTTTGAATGATACATTGTCAACAGCTCTATTCATAGTTTAGTTATTTGCCAGAACACTGATATTCATTGGTGAGATGATGCCCAGACATGGGAGGAGTCACAGAGACATAAAAATGTCAAAAACAAACTAGTTAAGCTATTGCTGGCTGGGGTTTATTAAATGGACAAGGAAAAAACAATCAAACCATCTTCCAGATACTTTACAAAATTTTCAACATCTATCCTGAAGTTCTTCTGTAAAATCTTCATTAAGCAATAACACAAATGGCAACTGTAACTTAACATACCTTACAAACTAAATGCACCTACAGACATGGGTTACACAGGATGTGGCTTAAATTTCCAGCCATCGTTTAGGATCATTTTTCCTTAAAGCTTTTAGACTACAGAAAATATTAAAACAAGGGCTCACATAGATATATCACCATCTCTGTTTTAGAGTTTTCTGAAGTGTAACATTTGTCTTGACCAATGACCATCAACATTCAATCAGGTAGCTAGAAGAACGTTATATTAAAGAGACGTTGGTGTAATGTGAATTGTATCTTGGGAATGGTTTACAACAAATTGACAGATGGATGGATAAGACAGATGGATGGATAAGTTAGATGGATGGACAGGAGGCATAAGCCATTACTTTTTAATCCCAATCCCCATTGTTTGGGCTATATATAGTTACACACTGACCTTGAGTACAACTATACGGCTGTCTTCGAGACTTGGGTCAGCAAACAATACAATCTCAGGCTCCTTGATGGTACAGAACACTTTGAGTGGTACAACAGGTGCTGGTAAGTCAGGAGAATCCACGTAGCTCTCTTCCAGGTCAAGGTCAATGGGTAAAGGAGGGGGAGGTAACTCTGAACCAGTTCCCATTGAAGCTGTGTAGAATTCTCGTAACCGTAGAAGGAATGGAATGTTAAGATTTAGGGTGATTTTTTCCATACGTATGTCCGCTGTAACAGAAACAACTAGAATTATATTACATGTAACAGATTCCAAACAGTACAAATTATATTTACATGTAACAGATTCCAAACAGTACAAATTATATTACATGTAACAGATTCCAAACAGTACAAATTATATTACATGTAACAGATTCCAAACAGTACAAATTATATTTACATGTAACAGATTCCAAACAGCCCCAATCATATTACATGTAACAGATTCCAAACAGTACAAATTATATTACATGTAACAGATTCCAAACAGTACAAATTATATTACATGTAACAGATTCCAAACAGTACAAATTATATTACATGTAACAGATTCCAAACAGTACAAATTATATTTACATGTAACAGATTCCAAACAGCCCCAATTATATTACATGTAACAGATTCCAAACAGTACAAATTATATTACATGTAACAGATTCCAAACAGTACAAATTATATTACATGTAACAGATTCCAAACAGTACAAATTATATTTACATGTAATAGATTCCAAACAGTACAAATTATATTTACATGTAACAGATTCCAAACAGTACAAATTATATTACATGTAACAGATTCCAAACAGTACAAATTATATTTACATGTAACAGATTCCAAACAGTACAAATTATATTACATGTAACAGATTCCAAACAGTACAAATTATATTACAAATATTTCTTCACATTTATTTTCACATCGTCAAGAAAATGAATAGGACCAGGGGACTGATAAATGTTCCATTCAAATTCCTGACCAACATGCAGTCTTTCTTTCTGGTTGACCAATAGCCGTCCACCTTACTTATTGACCGATGGTCACTCACCTTCTTGACTACCATCATGTGCTGTCTTGTATATCACAGATATCATGGGTAATGGTTTATGGTCATCATCTGTCACAACTTCCTCTCTTGTACAGTAAAATACCCTGAAGATCAGATCAGAATGACAAATGAAGGGCAGTAATGTTTTTTGTGTGATACGTCTCTCAGAAAAGTCACTGTAGGACAGAGAGTTTAACACAGACACTGAAGGACAGACAGTGTAGGAGAGATATTGTATGATAAGACACAAAGACAGACCCTATAAGACAGACAGTGTAGGAGAGATATTGTATGATAAGACACAAAAGACAGACCCTATAAGACAGACAGTGTAGGAGAGATATTGTATGATAAGACACAAAGACAGACCCTATAAGACAGACAGTGTAGGAGAGATATTGTATGATAAGACACAAAAGACAGACCCTATAAGACAGACAGTGTAGGAGAGATATTGTATGATAAGACACAAAGACAGACCCTATAAGACAGACAGAATAGGACAGACACTAAGACAGACATTGTAGTAGAGATATTGTATAAGACATAAAGACAGACCCTATAAGACAGACAGTGTAGGAGAGATATTGTATGATAAGACACAAAGACAGACCCTATAAGACAAACAGTTTAGGAGAGATATTGTATGATAAAACAAAAAGACAGACCCTATAAGACAGACAGTGTAGGAGAGATATTGTATGATAAGACACAAAAGACAGACCCTATAAGACAGACAATTTAGGAGAGATATTGTATGATAAGACACAAAAGACAGACCCTATAAGACAGACAATTTAGGAGAGATATTGTATGATAAGACACAAAGACAGACCCTATAAGACAGACAGAATAGGACAGACACTAAGACAGACATTGTAGTAGAGATATTGTATAAGACACAAAGACAGACCCTATAAAACAGACAGTGTAGGAGAGATATTGTATGATAAGACACAAAGACAGACCCTATCAGACAAACAGTGTAGGAGAGATATTGTATGATAAGACACAAAGACAGACCCTATAAGACAAACAGTGTAGGAGAGATATTGTATGATAAGACACAAAGACAGACCCTATAAGACAGACAGTGTAGGAGACATATTGTATGATAAGACACAAAGACAGATCCTATAAGACAGACACTGTAGGAGAGATATTGTATGATAAGACACAAAGACAGACCCTATAAGACAGACAGCGTAGGAGAGATATTGTACGATAGGTTTGGATGAGTATCATATATATGACATACTTTCTGACTGCTCGTGTGTTGTTTGGTCTCATGTCATCAATAGACATGGTGTGGAATGAAAGATTGAAGTCCAGCTTGTTCTCTCCTTCTCTATGGCTGTTAGCTCTAGCCTTGATCTTTCCTACTTCAAATCGACTAAGGAAGTTTTTCTGAAAGAAATTTGTTAAAAAAACTTTAAACATGATATTATAAAATAGATAAAAAAACAAAGACCTCCAAGACTAACCCTTAAATCTTTTAATAAAATTTAAACTTGAGAATTTTTGAATTTATCTACATGTTGTTTCTTTTAATGTGCCTCAAATGAAAATGTCTAGTGTATATTTGTAACTCTGCCAAAGCCAAAATCAAATCATATCAGTCTGTGAAATCTTTGCATCATTTTACAGATAACCTTTGAATCATTTTGATGACAAATTCTACACTATAATGTACAAATACTTATTGTTATATAAAAATAAGCTTTGACTTCTTCAGGTAACCATACCTCTATACTACTTGTGGTGCCATTTGTTTCCTCATAAAGACAAAGCACAAGGCCCTGTAGGGTCACTACAGCATTATAGGGTGTCCCTGGCACAACTTCTGGAGGAGTGGGCGTGTCAAGGTCATGTTGGATCACAGTCACCCCAGAATCCATTGTACTTGTTGGCTTCATGTTGGAAGGTTTAGCAAGATCTAGGATTAAAAAAAAATATATAAATAATTAAAAAACAATACTTTTGATTTCTCTAATTCCTGTGATCTTTAGCTCTGATTTTCCAGGTTGAAAATTTTCTAAACAGGAGGCCCATAACGCCGGTATGGCTAAACCTGGTTTAGTTTGCTGAAATTGCTTTGAACAAGGCAACCGAAAAATACCTTTTAATATTTAAATAGTTGCATAAAGAGTTTTAAATTTGTATTAAATGTAGATCAACAAATCAAGAGCCAATTGAAAGAAAAAACCTACCACCATCAATTTTTATTTTATCATCAAGTCATATCTTCAACATTACAGTACCATACTTATTAAGCAATAAGCCCAGGCTTGATAATATGCATTTCTGAATCAAAAGAATAACAAACATATACTATTTCATTGTCCTACAATAAGTCTACTCCCTGACTTTGAATCAGAGTTTGTATGTTGGCCCCTGGGCTTAACACAGGATAAATATAATAAAATTTTTAAAACTTTTGATGATTTAAAGTTATACCTGGTTTAGCTGACGGGGCTCCTTCACCAAAGTTCTCCTTCATTATATCCATAACCAGTTTCATGTCTGTCTTCAACATATTTACCTGTAACCATGGTAGATTAGCAATTATAGATGACATGAAAATGACCTTGACATTGTAAGGGTCATGTAAATTAATGACAGCGGTGAAAGGGATATGGTAAAATTATTCATAAACATCCGAATTAAGTCAGCACATGTCGGAAGATTCCAACAAATATCAAAAGGCCACCGGCTAAAATGACCTCAACAATCATAGGTCATGCAAATAATCAATGTGACCTTGACCTTTCATTCAGATAACAGAAGTCAATAGAACTTCAAAAAGAATATTTTCAAAGTAAAGCTAGAAGACGAAATTTTTGCACCATAAAATAATTAGCATACAATACAACTAGGCACCAGATACAACCTGTAAAGTGATGTTTTATCTACCTGGATCAACCGGTAAATCTCCACTGAACAGTTATGGTCAGTCAGTTATTTAGAACTGTGTCACATCTTCCAAAATAAAAATATTTTTGGTGGAAATTTCATTTTTTTTTACCAAATTTTCATAAAGACACCAAAGTACCTTAACTAGGTTGAGTTCTCCGGAAACATCATACATAATATTGGCCACAAAGGGAGCCAAAGCGAGGCTAAATGAGGCAGTGAAATTGACAGGCTCCACAAGGTGGTGTAACACCACAAAAGTAGTGTTGTCCTCCAGAAGTTTACCCCTGAAATGATTTATATCATGACAGCTCTGTGGTTTTAAGGTAAATTATATATATTGAAAGTGCAGCGATTTTTGAGAACTTCAATCTGATTTTATTATCCTATCTAACAAAGAGAAACACATAATTATATACCATTAAAGCTCTGAATTCTAAACACATCTTTTTGGACAATGGAATTCGGATATCACAAAATTCCATCTTAATTCGTGAACATACATAATTTAACCGAACTTGTGAAATAAACATAATTGTAAGATTCATGAATTAATCTATTACTATCAACTCAGATATTATTTCATAATAATTAAAATGCCTTTGGTTTTATTCTATCTTGATCATCCCAAACATTATAATGTGGAACCTACTTGCTGATCTGCATGGATGTGAGTTTGGCGCTGAAGTGATTCCACTCTTGCGACATATCAGCTCCTGGAACTTCCTTTCTTTCAAACTGATTCCACACCTCAAGGTTTCCGAATTTCACAAAGAAGAGATCACGTGACTTTGAATGCTGGGGTACAACCACTGTTGGGATATGTGCCTTGACAACCAGGGCAATCCGTATAGTTGCCGGAGTTATTTCCATCATCTAAAGGTCAAGGTCACAATAATAATTAAAATACAGAATGCCATGTTTACAAAGAATTGTGGGATATGTAAAAGTACTTCCTCAGATTAATGGTAGCTATCAGAAAGTCAAGATACATCTAGTGTTGTGATAGTATTTTATTTTATAACAATATTTTTTGTTTTTAATCTGATAATTTCTTAATTTATATTTTTTTGCTATTTTCATTGAATCACAACAAAATTTGACATCCTGACTCCTTACCTGTTTAGACACTGTTTCCTTTGTTTTGTAAGCAGCATCTGACAACTCTGGGCTCTTCAGTGGCTCAAAAAATCTCTGAAGAAAGAAACAAATTCTTTTGCCACTTATTTATATCAGATGTACAACCAGCAAACACAACAGTTTTCAATTAAACATTGTATCATTTGTTTTAGCAGATGAAATGGAATCTGACACATTTTCACCAGGTGTGCATTAGCACAGCCTTGAAAAATTAATTTGTCATTAAAACATCATCTCATATATAGTGCTATCTTAAGTGCGTATATTTAATACATATTTGTTTACTTTTAATACTTGTGTCTGAAAGTCAAGCATCAATTTATTTTTGATCAGGCTAAATGGGTTTTAGTGCAGTTAATATCAGTTATCTCCCCTTGAGTAAATCTTCATACCGTAACTTCCCAGAAGAACTTGTTGATGAATGCCACCTGGAGCTGGCCTATGTGTAACCTGGCATAGTAGTCAAGTGGTTCTGTGCTTCGTCGTGACAAACGTCGCATCATACCATCAGACTTAAACTGTTCCACCTGGTAATAAAAGAACGAGACAATTTTATTATCTTTTCAAATTAAAATTGGGTTTTTATAATTTATAAGTTCAATAGACATTGGGAGCTTCTGTAATTTAATTTTTTTTTCATAAACATTTGATTTTGAGTTCAGATGATCGAATTCTGCCAGTAACTACATGTACTATTAGGTATCATAACCATATCCTGATTTTCCTGTCAGGTAATAAGCCCAACCTTACCTACAAAAGCTGAGACCATATTGCCAAAAATCATATAAATTTCCATCCCTTCCCCTCATCCCCAGCCACTTTTAATTAATTTTGAGTATCAATTATTCACCTTTAAATCAAAGAATGGGCTTTCATCTGTACCAATCTCCAGAATCTGAAATATACACCATAATATACATAACTTATATGTGTAATGTCTCTCATACAATCTCTGATATATAATTATTATAATTTTTCTTCTGAGTTGATAGATCAATACATTTCTGATTTAAAGAGTAGAATATAATAATTAATTGTTGAACTGTATTGCGATGGAATAGTAAGTAAGGCACATGTTGCATATTGATTTATGAACCAAATATCTTAATATCATTACTTAAATCTTAATTCTTGTTTTCATCAAATTTTCAATAAATTTCATTCTGGCATCACTATAATGCCAAAATTTGCATAACAAAATGGCAGTAAGAAGAGAGGAAAAATAAAAATGTCATTATAAAGAGGCTTTATTACACACATTGTATTTCCATTAGGATGACAGATTTAATAAAAAACATTGGGATCATGGTACTTGTACTGATAACAAGTATTTAGAATAATTTCAATAAGGAAAAAAGAGTGTGAGGATCTGTACTTACATTTGGATAGAGTGTGTCTGGAGTGAGATCTGTCACAAAGAATTTCTGGAGACGACAATTGAATGTCATCTTTTTCGCTCGTGCTATGAACTGACTCTCTAAACCTTTAAAAAAAGTTCAAGAAATGTTCACCAACAAAATACTTCAACTGGTTCAAAACACAGATGTTTGTTATTAGGGAGCTGATAATTGTAAAACATGATGTAGCACTTTTTTTCAGTGAAAGACAATAAAGATCAAAAGTTAACACATAATTTTTATCAAAAATATTTTCCAAATCTTTTTTTGTCAGCCAATGGCCAAAGATTGAAATAAAGTTTCATAAAAAAAAGTCAATTATTGAAGAAACTTATTTAGACAAGCTTGCATTGAGGATAATTTGGTTCCACCTAAACCAAAAATATGACAAATCACCTTAATGAGTTACCTCCCTTTGCTCTTAAATGTACTTTTGATGATATAGATATTTTAATCTATATAACCTACCCTTGATATGAAGTTCGGAGAATTTTGTCTCAACATTACGTAGATGAAGACTGACGTCATTTACACAGGTGATTACATGAATTTTGATGAGACTAGATGGTCCACCTGCTGAAACAGACACACAAAGAGCGAAGCACTTCATTTCATATTGTCTTAAGTTACATTTAAATGGACATAATGGTTTCTCAGCTACTATCCAATTGATCTATAGTTTGTGCAGAGTTAATTTCCCCCTTTTTTGACCTTAGATATCTCCCAATTCAGAGTGTTAAAAGACACTGTCTCATTGAACTGTAATATGCCCATATGCCTTTACAAGTAACAGTATGCCAATTTCTGCAATTTTCAAATTACAAGAATTTCTATCCCTATACACAGTGCCGTTTCGCATAACAGTTTCATATTTGACCGAATTATTTTATTAAATTTGAAAATGAAATAATCCATGTCCAAAGTTTGATATGAATGGACATACCCTCATGGACAATAGACTTGATCTTATCAGTAACACTGGCTCGGCTGCTCCGACTTCCACTTTTATTTCGAAGCCTCACTGTAGATGAGTCCACCGTTGAGGACCGCATATTAACGAAGGGATTGTCGTCAAGGGTATCCTTCTTGGGATACATTCTGTCAAAGAAAGATTAGATAAACAGCAACTCATTCATATTGAATATGTCATTGTCAGTGAGAACACAATAAACCATAGTTGGAGCCTCATGGACATCACAAATTGAATATTGAAACGATAATTTTTTTTTTTTTAAATATTGTGTAAATTTGACTTTGACATGGAAATCCTTTGTGAAGCTCTTCCAGGAATGTTGGAGATAGCGACCTCTGTTTGGTCAAACATGAATGACACACTCACCTTGTGTGAAGATCTTCCAGGAATGTTTGGAGATAGCGACCTCTGTTTGGTCAAACATGAATGACACACTAACCTTGTGTGAAGATCTTCCAGGAATGTTTGGAGATAGCAGACCCCTGTCTGGTCAAACGTGAATGACACACTTACCTTGTGTAAAGATCTTCCAGGAATTTCTTGAGATAGCAGACCCCTGTCTGGTCAAACATGATGGACAAATTATTGAAGGTCAAAGTTGCACCATGCTCAATATTTTTGAACACTGGCCCGAAATCTGGACATTCTGGTTTGACCTACAAACACAAAGTAAGAAGTTGTAGCTATAACGTAACATCCTATAGTCAATCTCAAATTTTTCTCTAAAGAATCAAAAGTTATAAAAAATCAGATCCACTACATTTTTGATAAATCTTGATCTACAGGAACCAAGGAATTACTTCCCTTATCTCGGGAACGATGGTTCCAGGTGTTTTTATGCCTAAAACCAAACTGTTCATACATTTATTATTTCATATTCATCACAAGATGCATCAGAACCAATCTTTCAGATATACCATCCAACAAGCCCACTTTTCGCTCTGTTGACATAATCTTGAAGCAGGCAAATGTTAAACTGCTATAAAAGTTCTCTAGATGTTAACTCAAAAACAACATGTAACGAACTAGCTAGCTACTGATAATTCCCTAACAAAACATCAAGAAATCAATTGCTTCTGAATTCATTTTCAGATCTTGATCATAAAACCATGGAGTGGCCTGAATTCAGAGATTTGAAAGTCTTTACTTCTATATGTTTATAATTTGTAAGAATGATTGATTTATCAAGACCGCCTTAGAGACAATGTCAGTATTACCTGTCTGTAACAGATTGAGATCAATTCATTTTCTGACTCTGTCTGTAGCAAGTCCAGGTATGCACCCGTTGCACCTGTATAACATAAAGTGTGAGGATATATGTCCAAAATGTCGAGTAATGTACATACATTTCCTGTTCATATACACATACAGAAATATAAAAACTGAAATTATCCGATAAAGACTACTCTTTTGACAAGTTCATTTCAATTAATGATCATATGCAAGACAAACATCAAATACTGTGAACAAAGGGCAATAACTCTCTCAAAAAAAATCACTGAGGCAGAAATGTCTTTTTAGAATGTAAATTTCATAAAATCCAAAATGGCCACCTTATTGGCCATTTGTTATTCTGATCAGTCTGAAAACTGAGCCCACTCTAAAAAGCAAATGGATCAGTCAAAGCAATCAGAGATAATTTTTAAGAGCGATAAACAGAAAAATGATATAACATACCATATTACTTTTTGTTACAGCTGTTATTGAATAAAAAAATTGATGCAACTTTCGCTGAATTTCAAATCAGAGAAGAGCGACACATAGCTATGAATTCAGTATAAAAAGTATACATTTACATTGTAGATAACACAGTATACAGTCAAACCTGTCTATACAGGCCACTCAAGGGAACAGAGAAAAGTGGCCTTTATACACAAGTGTCCTGTATACAGAGGTTCAATTACTATCAATTGCATTACATAGAGAATAAAAAAATGTTACCTTTATACAGAGGTGGCCTTTATACAGAGGTTCAATTACTATGAATTGCATTACATAGAAATTAAAAAAATGTTACCTTTATACAGAGGTGGCCTTTATACAGAGGTTCAATTACTATGAATTGCATTACATAGAGAACAAAAAAATGTTACCTTTATACAAAGCAGCCTTTATACAAGGTGGTTTGTAATTACGTATGCTTGTATTAACGTAGCCTTTAAAAAAATGTCACCTTTGTATTAACGTGGCCTTTATACAGAGGTTCAATTACTATGAATTGCAATACAGATAGAACCAAAAAAGCAGCCTTGTATTAACGTCGCCTTTGTATTAACGTAGCCTTTGTATTAACGTAGCCTTTGTATTAACGTAGCCTTTGTATTAACGTCGCCTTTGTATTAACGTAGCCTTTGTATTAACGTAGCCTTTGTAAGACAAGTTTGACTGGGTCAGATTTGATTATGCACTGGTTCCCTTGGCTTTTTGCCAAAAAATGTGTCAAATGTTAAGGAGAATCTTGATTCTCATACCTCTGTGTAGCTTATCAGCCATTCCAATTCCTCGTAGTCTGGCATGGAATGCGACTCCACTTGGAATAACTCTGTTTTTATTTATCCACACTGTGTATGCCATGTCAGCCGTGAAACCGTCCAAACGGAACATAAGATATTCCCGTCGCTGACGGTTCTGCTCTAGCGATACCTGTATGACGATCTCACCGATGGAAGCCCGCATGAACATCTGCATACGGTTGTTTTCCGTAATATAGTCATCAACTGACTTGACTTTCCGGTAACTGAAATGTCAAAACCATGCCTGAGTAAGTATGTTAATCACAAACAGATCTACAAGCAAAACTCAAATTTAGTGATGTAATGTTTAAAATAATGCACCATAATTTGTTTCCTTTTGGACAGACTTTGACCACCAGTTATCATGATGAGGTGAGGTCTCCTTATGGTATCCTACTATAACAGGAGTTTTTAACCATTGCCTAAGTTTTCTAACTTTTGCTATAAAACTGATTGGCAACGGTCTGTGCTCTTTAGTGGAGAAAATAAATTAAGTTTATTCTTGTTTTCACATCATATGGCGAATTTGCATGTGAGAAAACAAACCTACAATACATTACTTGGTGGCTACCTCAGTGAACATCATGCAGGAGGCCCACTGCAAATGGTGAGGGATTGGGGTGAAGTGTCTTAGCTTCCTAAGAAACACAAACCGTCCCTGGTAGGGATCAAACCACACATGGCGGGTCACCCAAGAAACACAAACCGTCCCTGGTAGGGATCAAACCACACATGGCGGGTCTTCACCTGAGTAACATAAACCGTCCCTGGTAGGAATCAAACCACACACGGCGGATCTTTACCTCAGTAACATAAACCGTCCCTGGTAGGGATCAAACCACACACGGCGGATCTTTACCTCAGTAACATGACGGTCCTGGTAGCGATACCACACACGATCTCACCGATGGAAGCCCGCATGAACATCCACACACGGTTGTTTTACCTCAGTAATATAGTCATCAACTGACTTGACTTTCCCTGGTAGGGATATATGTCAAAACCAAGCACTTGAGTAACTATGTTAGAACACAAACAGATCTTTCAAACAAAACCCAAATTTAGTGAAATGCCATAATGTTTAAAATAATGCAGCCATAATTTGTTTGCTTTACTATTTACAATCAAGGTTTAACCACCAGGTATCATGATTGAAGTTGGTAAATTATCTCACACATTTTCATCTACAGAAATTATATTTTGTATGTTAGGAGTTTTTAACCATTGCCTAAATTTTTCACTAACTTTTTTTCTATAAAACTGATTGGCATTACGTGTTTCAGGTAAAGCTTTAAAAAAGGGAGAAAAAAAATATCAACAGCAAATTGTCAGTACCAAGTTAAATGTGTCAGAAAGTTTGCATTTCTGATGTCATTGGCAACAAACTTTTTTCAATTTTACATTACTTTTTTTTTTGTTACAATAACTTTGAACATCATGCAGGAGGCCCACTGCAAATGGTCAGGGTTAAGTCACCAATTGTGTTTATTCAGACATAAGTCACACATGGCGGGTCACCCAAGAAACACAAACCGTGTGTACAAGAAATACACATTGGCATTCATGTTTTGAGTGAGATTCATGTCTTTGGTAGGAATCAAACCACACACGGCTGGCAGTGGTGTTGGACTCTCACTATTCACATACAGTGTTAAGTTTAGAGTTCATTGCAGCAATGATGGAGGTTTTTGGTTTTGTTGGCAGCCATTCAACACAAAAGGAAGTTGTTCTTAATTGGTAATAGAATGCTAAGTTGTATAAACTCAATTCAGGAAACACAAACCATCCCTGGTTTATTACATAGGTTGGCTTATTGTAGGATTTTACACTTGAAGTCATATATATGCATATAGAAACACAGCAACAGCTCGCCATCAGGCTTTCATGACAAAAACGAAAAGTCTTCAAATCAAATGCCATCTTATTAAACGTTATCTTATAATAACTCTATGAAGCTGGCTGAAGAATAGAAGTTTATAGAAATATTCAAAAGCTGGTCTAACTAATTACAATCAAGATGTAAAAACTATATCTCAAGATACTCTATAGACAGTTGAAAATGGTAAATTATCTTGACACACATTTTCATCTACAGAAATTATATTTTGTATGTTAGTGACAGTATGAACCATGTTTATAAATATTTTCACTATTGATTTTTTTCCCTTGACAAGACTGCTTCCTATTAACGTGTTTCAGGTAAAGCATTAAAAAAGGGACAGTAGAATTTTTTTGCCAAAACAACATATCAACAGCAAATTGTCAGTACCAAGTTAAATGTGTCAGAAAGTTTGGAGTCATTTCTGATGTCATTGGCAGACTAACTTTTTTCTGATTTTACAATTACAGATTTTTTTTTTGTTACAATAACTTTGAATACTAATTAGGTTCTGTTTGAAATATCACTAGTTAAGTCACCAATTGTGTTTATTCAGACATAAGTCTCTGTACTGTTTTGTGTACAAGAAATATTGATTGGCATTCATGTTTTGAGTGAGATTCATGTCTTTTTGATAGAGTCTTAATGAGTTTTTAATGGGTTAGGCTGGCAGTGGTGTTGGATTCTCTCACTATTCACATACAGTGTTAAGTTTAGAGTTCATTGCAGCAATGATGGAGGTTTTTGGTTTTGTTGGCAGCCATTCAACACAAAAGGAAGTTGTTCTTAATTGGTAATAGAATATATAGTTGTAGGAGCTGGATTAATGTAGGAATATATAGCCTTATTGTGAGATTAGGTTTATTACATAGGTTGGCTTATTGTAGGATTTTACTTATTGCAGACATATATATGCTTATTGTAGGAGCTGGATTAATGTAGAAATATATAGCCTTATTGTAGGAGCTGGATTAATGTAGGAATATATAGCCTTATTGTAGGAGCTGGATTAATGTAGGAATATATAGCTTTATTGTAGGAGCTGGATTAATGTAGGAATATATAGCCTTATTGTAGGAACTGGTTTAATGTAGGAATAAATAGCCTTATTGTAGGAGCTGGATTAATGTAGGAATATATAGCCTTATTGTAGGAGCTGGATTAATGTAGGAATATATAGGCTTATTGTAGGAGCTGGATTAATGTAGGAATATATAGCCTTATTGTAGGAGCTGGATTAATGTAGGAATATATAGCCTTATTGTAGGAGCTGGATTAATGTAGGAATATATAGCCTTATTGTAGGAGCTGGATTAATGTAGGAATATATAGCCTTATTGTAGGAGCTGGATTAATGTAGGAATATATAGCCTTATTGTAGGAGCTGGATTAATGTAGGAATATATAGGCTTATTGTAGGAGCTGGATTAATGTAGGAATATATAGCCTTATTGTAGGAGCTGGATTAATGTAGGAATATATAGGCTTATTGTAGGAGCTGGATTAATGTAGGAATATATAGGCTTATTGTAGGAGCTGGATTAATGTAGGAATATATAGCCTTATTGTAGGAGCTGGATTAATGTAGGAATATATAGGCTTATTGTAGGAGCTGGATTAATGTAGGAATATATAGCCTTATTGTAGGAGCTGGATTAATGTAGGAATATATAGCCTTATTGTAGGAGCTGGATTAATGTAGGAATATATAGGCTTATTGCAGGAGCTGGATTAATGTAGGAATATATAGGCTTATTGTAGGAGCTGGATTAATGTAGGAATATATAGGCTTATTGTAGGAAGAGGTTTATTGTAGGAAGAGGTTTATTGTTGAGGTGGGAGTGTCATAGGAATATGTTATTGTTTGAGTAGCCTTATTAAAGGGCAGGCTTATTGTAAAACTGGGCCTATTAATTAAGAAGAGCATTAGGTTGTAGCCAGTAAAATAAGACACTATAATGTATTCAAACATGTAATGTACTTATAACAACTTCAATCACTGGACAAGCACACTTTACACAGTTATATGTGCACGAAAACTAAGCCAGGTGTATTAGAAAGTTGTTTCAACAATAATTGTCTCAAGTTGTTGAAAAGAAAGTTTGTTCATGATGAAGAGCTGCAGAGAACAAAGGATGAAGTCAGCAAGTGCAACAGTGTTCATGCATGTATGAATGCAAACCAAAGTTTTTTATTTATTTTTCAAAGGATTTGCTGAAATTAAAAATTTTGGTTTCAGCAGATTTTAAAGTGATCTTACAACATCTTAAAGCTAACACGTGTACGCGTTGATAATGTTTTTAACATATATGTCATTTGAAAGCTAAAACTGAAGCAAAATTATAACACATTGTAAAAATGAATGATAAATGTATAATTGTTTGTGTAAACAGTTTTAGAACACTTACAATTCAATTCATAATATCTTCAAATAAATCCAGGGTTAATAACTCAAATATAGTACAGGCATCTTCATATTGCAGAACAATGATATTTGTAGGGATTTTACTGAACAACTATGAACATTGGTGGGCTTATTGCCAGACATGGGCTCATTGTCATAAACAAATATGTATGATGGACCCTTGATAATCAGGACAACTTTGTTTCTGACCTAAATCACCCTAATGATGAGGTTTACGATGATTTGCTGTCATCTGGAGTTATTCTATTTTTAGAATCATTTGAGTCAGTTAAATTGAGTGTGTGACAAGCATACACCTACATCTACCTGCGAGTGGGAGATTCCTTGATTTGAAAGCAATAAAATACTGTAATCTAAACATGAAAAAAACATAATTTTTCTCTCAATCAACTCTCTTATGCATTGATTGACTGATAACACAGAAATCAGTGCCATGTTTTTCTATGTTAGATATGTGGAAGTATTGGGGGATGATAGTCCTATTGTAAATAGTCTAACCAAATTTGTCTTCCTATGATCTTAATTAGCATTTCATTCCTTATTATAAACGATATATGTTAAGATATTTTTATGTCCTGGTTACTAAGATTAATGTTCAAAATCGTACGAAATACTTATGGAACAAAATATTCATTTTCATCAAATGAAAAGAAAGTTAGGTGATATGGGAGTTTGTATTTGAGTATTGCGGAGACTAGGCTGGATTATTTGAAATCCTTGTTCAGGTGATACAAAGCTGGGTGAAGGCACTGAATGTGCATACTAGAGTTATGGTAAGTATATTACATCATGGAAATTGGTTTCAAAAGAACATGTTTCTCTTACTTTAATATATTGAATAATTCAGGATGTCTCAAAATGTGACGAGACCAAGATTTGGATATTTTTTTTACAATTAAGAATGTACTCCTCCAAGAATTAAAAAATAAATTCAATATCAATTTTTCTCCTGATAATGGTTTTTTGAAAGGATTGATTTTGAAAAGTAAATTGAAAATAAAAGATAAATATGTTGCTGTACCACGTTTTCTGGTACAGGCATAAGAATATGTTACTGAAAATAATCTTAAATGTTTCAAAATGACATAAATCTTTAATTTGATCAAAAGTCCATAATTTTATGACGGTATTCATTTTATAGTGAATTATGTTTTGCTTCTGGTCAAAACATCAGACTAATACATCCTAAATTAACTTTGTCCTGTATACAGTATTTGTCGACAGTCAGCAGTATGCTGTACATCTTTGGCACAGATGATTGAAACCAACAAATTTTCTTCACATGGTAACAAAAAATGACCAGACTATTATGGAAATTTTACTATGAAAAGTCCTTTCTGTTCCAAAAATGTGTATCAGGAATTGGAATTTGAGTTTCCAGACTGTCAAGTACAATTAACATTACAGAACCCCGTTTCCCACCATTTGTGAGTTTACCGCACTCAGATGGTGTCTGGATTAATGCAGGTCAACTGTATGATATTTATAAATGTGTGTAAATTTCAAGTTCAGAATTCCTTTCAGTATCGTAAAACCCCTAAATTCTCTTCTCTTCTAAATTGTGAAACCAAGTTAATATTCCAATTTACCATGTTCTACAAATATCAACACATTTGTCATAAATCTATTTTTGTAGTTAAAATCTCACATATTTTACTTAACCATTAATTCAATCGGCTAATGAACAGCAGTGTTAACTAAATATCAATGAAACTTGAGAAAATAGCTGATTCAGCAAACGCTAATTGGAAAAATAAATTAGAATATTGTAAGCATATATATATCATTATTGAATGCTTCATTGCAATATTACAAAATGAACAATCATATAAATTATGAAATATATTCAAATAAGCGCTGCAAGAAACACAATACATAATGAATAGAATTTTAACAAAAATATTGAAATTATTAAGAAGATGTATAGAGTATCACACTAGAAAATAATAATATTGTGTACCATTTAAAGCATAACTAAACTCTCATAAAAATCAAGAAAATTGTAAAGATGGCAGCCTTTGGTTATAGAAGCAGACGGCCATTTACATACCTCGCCAACAAAAACCTGTCATAGTGTTAAAATAACAAACTCAAAATCCAAAATATCTTTTAAAGATAAGATCCATGCATTCTAAAATTATCTCATTTTTTTTAAAATTTGAAATCTCTGAAATGATGATGAAATTTAAGACACATTATATACAGTTTTCAATCAATATCAGTCTTCTTTCATTTTCTAATTAACTGCCATACTTAATATTTTATTCTTTTTTGTAACTTCTGTATCTGGTATAAAACAACAATGATGAACCACCACTTTACAGTGTACTGTCTGTCAGTATATACAAATACACTTTCTGAAGCAGAAATACAAATAACAATTTTCATCACTAAATTTTCAATGAACAAACACATGCATTTACATCAATGATAAAATCTGATACTTTCTTAACTAAGGTGGATATTTAAAGTTGTTGGATGCAAATTTTAAACGATCAATAAAATAACTAGCAAAAAAAAAAAAAAAAGAGAAAAAAACAGCAATTAAACACATGATATTTACAATATTTCCTTGTTTGGCTGAGGTAAATATTTCACAGACAGTGACTAAACATTATTCAAAATACAGAAAGTCCAGGAGGTCTACAATTTTCCTGTGGTTTATAGTAAGGAATTGGGCTTCTTATTAGACAACAAGCTAAGTAGGGAGGTGGGCTTTTCATAAGTCCAGGATACCAACATATTTATATCTGGCTTCAGGTAGGGGGTGGGCATATTCAACTACAATAAGCCCAGATGATATTATTACCTCTATCTTAAAGTAAGGAAGTGGACTTATTACTGGACAATAAGTCCAAGGAGCTTATCCATTACATCAGGCTTGCAGAAAGCAAGGGCATATTTAGGGATGATAAGCCCCAGAGGCCAACATATTCCCTTGGATAAAAAGTACAGAAGTGGGCATATTAAGAGAAGATACACCCAGGTGCCACTACTTTCTCCTGAATTAAAAGTACAAATGTGGGCATATTTAGAGATGATAAGTCCCAGGGGCAAACACATTACATCTGATTTAAAGTAAGGAGGTGGGCAACTTTAAGGACAATAAATCCATGGGGCCAACACATAACCTTTTGCTTGAAGTACAGAGGTAGGTATATTTAAGGGCAATAAGCTCATGGGGCCAACACATAACCTTTTGCTTGAAGTACAGAGGTAGGTATATTTAAGGGCAATAAGCCCATGAGGCCAACATATAACCTTTTGCTTGAAGTACAGAGGTAGGTATATTTAAGGGCAATAAGCTCATGGGGCCAACACATAACCTTATGCTTGAAGTACAGAGGTAGATATATTTAAGGACAATAAGCCCATGGGGCCAACACATAACCTTATGCTGGAAGTACAGAGGTAGATATATTTAAGGACAATAAGCCCATGGGGCCAACACATAACATTTTGCTTGAAGTACAGAGGTAGGTATATTTAAGGGCAATAAGCCCATAGGGCCAAGACATAACCTTATGCTGGAAGTACAGAGGTAGATATATTTAAGGACAATAAGCCCATGGGGCCAACACATAACCTTATGCTGGAAGTACAGAGGTAGATATAATTAAGGACAATAAGCCCATGGGGCCAACACATAACCTTTTGCTTGAAGTACAGAGGTGGACTTATTACAGACAATAAGCTAAGGGTCCAACAAATAAATTCTGACTTTAAGCAGAAATGAGGGCTTATTACTGGAAAATCAAATAGCATTTCTTGGTAACTCTACTGAATAATAAGAAACATGAATGGACTTATCAACAGGCATGGGCTTATTGGTGAATATTTACATAAGAAGAATACATACCTTGTCCATTTGTCCATCTCGTCTTCAGAGTCATCAGAAGCAGAGTAATAAGTGTCTGTGTCAGGTTCTGGAAAAGAAGTTCGAATCAGATCATCACATCAAAATTTCTGTAAAATATAGAGACTTGACCAAAAAATATAAAGGCTTGATGGGGATGGGGAGTGAGGGAGTGGGCAGTTACATACATAGCTGGGTGTGCAATGAAGGACTGAGTAAACAAAGAAAGAACAATGTCAATCAGGTATATTTTAGTGAAGACAGCAGTCCTGAATGAGGAGATATACAAGTGGTCCTTACAAGGGAACTACAAGTGGAGATAAATAAAAACAAACAAAAAATAACAAAGAATAGCAGAAAAACAACACAATTGTAGAAAAGACAGAACAGTGAGGGCTTCAGGTTTGGGAACACAGTGTCAGAAAGATCAGAGAGTGGGAGAGGATTGAAAGGGCATCCCTTTATTGTCCAAGTCAATCCTATTCACTTTATAAACTCCCTAGGTTGGAATAATTCTGAAGGAGAACTTTTTTAAGTAAACTCACCAACATCTAAAACTCTCGAGTAGTATAAGCCTATATATGTACTGGAGAACCGAGGACCTGAGTTTTATATCTTGTTCTGTCTATACTCTGTACCTGAATAAGTGCTCGTCCTGTTTCTTGGCTGAGCACTGTCCAGTGTACTGTGCAAGCTTTTGGCAACCGGTTCCTCTTGTATAGGCTCCGCCAGGTCAAGGGTAAGCCGACTAAGTATTGTCCTTCTCATTTTCTTCAACTGTTTGGAATTCATCTCTATCTGTATATGCCTCCAGTCCTAAAATGCAATGAACAGAATCTGCTTTTCATTTCGTACCATCAAAGGAAACACGAGAATCTTTTATTCTTTTGTGAAAAATGAAAGTGAGATTTGTTTGATTGGGTACTGCTTGCTTGTTGGATTCCTCTATTTGCCAAAAAACAGGGTGATTTTGAGACAATATTTGCTTTGGATAGCTAGTGGCTATTTCAATTAACAACATATAGGTGGCCTTCGACCAGTTATTTAACGCAATTAGGCTAAGATGTCAGACAGAAAGATACATTCAAGCACATAAGCACAGTGGGTTTTACTAGAGAAATTCAAATTGTTAAGGCTGAGAGAAAAGGAAACGAGAAACAGAATCTTGTACTTTTCTTGTTATCACATATCAGATTTCCTCAAACAGATGGAAATGAGGAAATCAAAATTTTACACTTCTTATAGCAGTATATGCTGGATTTTCATATGCTTAAAACCAAAGATTGAGAAAAATGAAATAAGACCAATTGTTTAATACCCTGACTATAAGTAGGCTAAATAGGAAAATAAATATAAACCGGTTGAGGTGGAGGAACATCCATAGCATCTATTGTACTGGTGGAAGTTGTCGGCACAGGGAAATTCCGCATAAAATTGTTCAAGGTCACAATCTGCACATCAGTCACGTTCAAGGTTAACGACTGCAGCATGGCATCAAATTTTTGTCTACAAGAAGTCATTGATAAATGATATTATCTGATATAATGGGGCAACTTCAATAATTACATTAGTTAATGATATAGAGATTCTGATGCCAACATTGACATTAATATCACTGGTGACATCATGATGACATTGACCATATCATTAGTGACATTATCAGTGACATCATCAGTGACATCATTCAGAACAGCAGACAGTGACATCATTAGTGACATCAACAGGGACATCATAAAAGACACTAATTAACTAAAATCATCAATTACATCATCTTGTGTGACATCATTAGCGCTATCATTAATTACCCTGTGAATGACATTGTGTGTGACATCATTAGCGATATCATTAGTGACACTGTGAATGACATTGTGTGTGACATCATTAGCGATATCATTAGTGACACTGTGAATGACATTGTGTGTGACATCATTAGCGATATCATTAGTGACACTGTGAATGACATTGTGTGTGACATTGTATAAGACTTACTGAGGCTGCTGGTTATTATTGAGGACACTTCTGTAGAATGCTATATCCAGTCCTGTACTGGGCAGGATGTGGAACTCGGAATTTGGATTTTTCTGAGCCATGTCCCATTCTTCCTCTAAACATAGTCATATAATCATGAACAAACAAGTGTTTTTTCTCTACTTAGTTGTCTTGGAATTGTTCCTCATGATACAAGAACTTAATTAGTAGATTAACCTATGATACCACAAAAGTACCAAAGCTACTTTGATGTGTTTGAACCCACGTCTACTGTTTATTGTTCAAACATAAGCCTAAGTTTGAAATTCAATTTCACACCCTTTTCCAAAATAATTGAAATTCTTGAAAATAAATGCACTCTTCATTTAAGAAACTGAATAAAACTACAAAATTGAAAGTTCATACACTTAGAAAAAAGAATTAACTTAATCTGCATATTTAGAAATAAAAAAGAATATCTATAGTTAAATATATCACTGAGTACCCTATTGTTTGTAACACCCACCAGAATCTGCAAGAAGCACCTTGACATCAGAGATTTTGAAGAGGAATTTGTCGTACAGGTGAGCCTGTAGCTCCGAGATTGTGGCATTGTGGAGTGGCATGTTCTCTTTCTGTAACAGGTCACTCTCAACAGTGAAGTTTCCGAGGTCACAAATCAGTAGGTTACCTCCCCTGTTGGAAAATCAACTTTAGTCCAATTCCATCTTTGGTTGATATCAATTTTGACCATATCATGGCATTTTTCCTGAGTTTACTTTTCAAGAATATAACAATTTACTAGATGTGGAAATACAATTATTTTGCCAACAGTTTCTTTGTTCAAGACAAAAGATACCTGCACAATTATTTAAAGACCTAGGTTGCTGATGTGAAAAAGTTACCCTTCACATAATGTCTACAATTTAGCAAGGAACAATTAATAAAAAAAGGAAAAGAAAACTAAACAAAATTACAGTAAAGGCTACAAGTTTTACTGTTTATCTGAGTTGATCTTTAAACCAACTTTTATATTATACTCCTGTAAAATTTAATTCTTATGAGATTTAAATTTTATGGTTTTACACTTTTTATTTTCTCTTGATTTCATGGATGAATCTTAACCATAAAATCTATTAACTTGTACTATCATCCTTTTTAATTATTATTTCTTATCTGTTACACGGTAACTCATACTGTGATTCAACTTACTGATGGAGAGTTCCTTTCTGGGGGATAACAATATATGGAGACTTCATGTGTACAGAAATATGGAATGTCTGAAAGTATATAAAAGTAAGTAATGAAATACCTTAAAATATACATATCAACATTAACGTCGGCAAAAACTCCTTAACATTTCATTAAAATCTATCAAAATCTCATTAAAATCTATTAAAATCTCATTAAAATTTTAATTGCAGATTTGTTAGTTAAACTCATTAACTGTTGCAAACAGTTTCAATACAGGTGCGAGGAAATTTCTTTTTTCAAAGAAGCAAAATTTTTCTCTTGAAGGATGGTAAAAAATATTGATAATTGGAATCTTGAATCAGAATATTGACGTATATGTCAGTTTGGAAATTTACCTGCTACCCTGAAAATCTTCTCTTGTCATGTCTATGATTTTTTCATATTGTTCATGTAGTACAATATCTGTCATGAACTTCCTTAATATGTGCTATTACAAAAACTGTAAAAACAAACTCTTTTTAGGCATTTTGTTCATGAAAATCAAATTTTCATTTTCATATCCCTAACGTGTTTCCAAAGTTTCGTGTCTAAATGTCACTTACAGATTGTTGTTCAATGGCGTAGAGCAGTGTGCTTCGACTGTACTCGACCATATCCATGAGTTTCTCCTTTGCGATAGCATTAATATCCACTTGTGGCGAGTCCATCGGTACTTGGAAGAACATGAGGACCTGGGAGACTGCATGCTTTTAAAATAAAACAAGATTACTGTACACAAAAACACAAAATGTCTCTAGCGTAATCAGTATATCAATGAAAGATGAACATGACGAGTTATTCTGGTTCAACAAGGCTGATGTTTTTTTATACCTGATCGTAAAAGATTTCAACTGGTCTGACATTGAGCTTCAGTGATTGGTCAGCATGAATGGACAATGGCCGAAGCTCGTAGTCCAGTGTAAACATCTGGTTGTCTGTGGCTGTAAAAAAAACAATAGAAAGCAATAAAATTGTTGTCAACAACATTGTTTACAGAATAAACATCCAATTAAAAAAAAAAGAATCTATAATATTAAATTTGGAAATATACCATGGAAAAAGGGAAGGTTTCTTTTGTCATTTTAATCATTATTTAAAATTTCAAAACAAGTAAGATTTTAGATATCTCTGAATTCACAGATATACTTACAATATATATTACTATTAGATGTCTCTATATATTACTAGATATACTTACAATATATAATACTATTTGATGACTCTATATATTAGATATACTTACAATATATATTACTATTTGATGACTATATTACTAGATATATACTAGATATACTTACAATATATATTACTACTTAGATATAGATATACTTACAATATATATTACTATATACTTACATATATATACTAGATATACTTATATATTACAATATATATATATATTACTATTAGATGTCTCTACTAGATATACTTACAATATATATTACTATTAGATGTCAGTAGAGACACCAGTTTGTAGTCCACTGAGGCACCCTCTATTGTGAAGCTCTCTGTGTGGCTCAACACTCTACAACAGCATAATATCATTAAAAATCCTCAACAAAACAATATGCAGTATAATTAAGGTATTCAAACCTTTTGGTCTAATGGTACTTTTCACTGATTAATTAATTGATGATGTCTGAAATCAATTTTTTATCAATGATAGCTGACAATTAATGTTATTTTTCATGGATCATCATGTTCATTGTTTAAAATATATTCTGTTTATTCTGTTGTGGCCCCATTCCCCTATCTGGTCCCTTTCCCCTTACCTGGCCCCATTCCCTCAAGGCTCCATCCCCTCTTACCTGGCCCCATTCCTCTTTGCCCCATTCCTTTTTTCCCTGATTTCCCCTTACCTGGCCCCATTCCCTCCTGGCCGGTTTTCGTACGATGTTAACATATCACTCAACGTCATCTTAAGAATAGGTTTACCATAGTTCTCCAAAGTGAGGCTTACATTCTTTAATCGCAGCTGCACCTTGTAGGCAATGTACTGGTAGAAAAATGAACAATAAACAACCAAATATCAATAATATGTTTGAAAATAATGACTTCTATTCTGTTGTTTCAAACATCAAATATTATCCACATTTCTTTTAATCTAGAAATACAAGGAAATTATCAAAATCTTATCAACAAGGAAAATAATTACCTGGTACATTTTTAAGAGGAAGTTGTTTTGCAAAACCTAAACATTACAACAGCTGTTTTAGAAGGATTTTTTTTCAACATACAACTCAAAAAATATTTTACCTCTTTTGGCATAGTATCTTTCTTGGAATTTTCATCATAACCAACACCCTGGTAAAGTTCTCGTCTCTCTTCATCAGAAAGACTTTGCAGCCAATCTGGAAAAAAGACAACCGGTTGAAAATTCATGTTTTAGAAAATAATTTCAGACACAAATATGCTTCCCAATATAATATATATATTTGAATCAAAATGAAGCCTAAAATCTCTTAACTTTTTCTACCTTAGCTGATCCACTAATTGAACGCTTAATTCAAGAAAAAAAAAATTTCCAAATATTACATTGACAAATCCCCATAATGAAACAATAACCTCTTCATCCTGATTATGATTTCCACTGGAGATATGACCTTTGACCTTACCCATTCCTATGTTGACCTCTGACCTTACCCTCTTCTGTGTTGACCTCTAGCTCAACTTCTGGTTCCACACTGCTGCCCCCTAGAATCCAACTGAACCAGCTCTCATTGGCCTTTTCTCGCTCCCGCGTCTCTTTAATCTTTTTTCGAGCACGATCAGGAGCTTCAGCAACGAACTGTGTGAGGGGGAAAATACATCATTCGTAAATCTTTATTTCAATAATAATATATATATGTATATAGATATCAATGTTTGTAATTCTCAAATTTCATATAAAAAGAAAATAAATGATTAATCAACTTAAAAGGGTTGCTATTTCTAGTTGATTATGTCTATAAAGGTATCACTGACAAGAAATATTACCTTCTCTGTTGCATTTGCACAATAATCATGAAAAGAAGTTCTACAGTTTCTTCACCAACTTAAAATCCACTATTTTTATGCAAATTAGTAAAATAATAACAAAGGGCAATAACTCTCCATATGGAATTGGATATTTTGGCAGTGTTTCCCCAGACAAATTTCTATTACAAATTTTGAAATGTGATGTAACAAGCACATGTATATGAAAATTCTATGAAAATAGCTATTTTGAATAAACTGAAACTATGAGACTTAAAATAATCCATGATGTGTCTTCCAAAATAATAATACAAAATTTCTGGAATTTTCAGACAATGGTAAGTAAAGTAATCCTCTCCATTGATGCTAGCAGGGAACATAATAATCGTAAAGAATCTAAGGCATTTGACCTGGAGTTTGGACTCTTCCCGTGCTTTTATGATGTTACAGAGGTCCATGTCTGCCTCCAGTTTCTTTAGATCCTCCTGTAGAGTCTTGTTGTCTGGGAATTCTAGGTGTGTCTTGTACATCTGACCATAACGTACTACTTTTTTCCTACGGAGAAAAAAAAATATCAAAATAAAATAAAATATTCATTATCTAATATTTGAAAATTATGCAAAACACACTTCTTTTAAAAGGTCTGATCAAATAAATAGACCCTTACGGTGAACACACAAGCTTTGAATTTGAAGTAAAAAAAAATGAAGAATTTTTTTAACACAACAACATGTATGATCCCTCTAACGAATGTAAATTTAAGCAATGGCATTAGTTTTGCAAAATAGGAAATATTTGATGTGACCTTGACTTTTATACCCCTAGATAGGCAATTTCCATGGTATTTGATAACCTGAATCATTGTTCATAAATGATTGATCTTAATTCATTTGCAAATGATGTTACTAGATTGATAACCCTGAAATCCATTAGTGTATACCACATAACATTAATTGCTATTGGCAGACAGCTCATGAAATGATCCAGAACCCATAAGAAGGGAGACAACTCACCTATGCTCCACAACCCTTGTCCAATTGTGCGGACGAATCCTTTCCTCTACAACTGAAGTATATGCATAGTGCCACCAAGCCTTTGGGTTAAAGCGCACTGGTGTGTTGGGATGGTATTTACGGTAACGCTTGTTGATTTGCACTCGACGACTTGCATCAATCCACTTCAGTAAATTCAGGTACTAAACAGTTAAAGAGAAAGCAATGACCATTAATTCAAAACAAGCTTCAACTTTAACCTCTTCAATTTCCAACAACTTACAATTTCATACATTTATTACAAGATATGTTACGAAATTTTTTTTTTTTTAGCCAAATGCACAGTTCCAAAACAGAAAATGTTAATTTGAAATAATATTACTGTACAAAAACAAATTCAAAATCTTAGTTATTAACCATGACCTTTACACTGAAAAATTGATCTTTCTTTTGACCTCTGACCTAATTACTACGTTAACTTACCTGATGTCTGGAGAAGAAACACATTATATCGGGGAGTGAGAATTCTACATAGATTCTTGGCATCACAAAGTTATCCTCATTGTTCATGATGACCTTGGCTTTGACTGTCACAGGACGAAGAACTGCAGGTAAAGGTCAAAGGTTACAGACATTTAACTAAGTAATGCCTACAAGAATAGTTTGGTATCAACAAAATTCTTTATCTAGATTTTCATTAAGAATGTTCAGAAAATCTTACTATGATTAAAGGACTCCTCTCGTATCCTGTTGGTTGTTATAGACTGTTTCAGCAGGTTCTGTAAGGGGAGATAATCAGACATAAGTTTACTAAAAATGAGGTTATAATCAAACATGTTATTTAAGAACAAGGAGATGATCAAACAGGCTTATAAAGGAAGGGAAGATAATCTTGCAAGTCAATAATAAAAGGGGAGATCATTCAACAAGTTATTCAAGAAATCAGAGTAATCATAAAGAAAGGGGAGATAATCAAACAATTTATTAAAGAAAGGGGAGAAAATAAGAAAAAATTGTTTACAGGATATAAACCAAATTTAGTACGAAAAGGGAGATAATAAAAAATTATTAAGAAAATGGAGATGAATAAGTTTTTTAAGAGAAGGGAGATAATCAAACATATCAATTGAAAATTTCATCACATTCTGCCATTATTTCATCATTCATGTTTTTCAATAAGATTTATTTCGCCTATTCATATATTTTCCCTCCCCTCTTACAATGTTCAATCACCTACTTCAGTTACATTGATTGAAGTATAAGTAAACTCACTCTAAGAGATTTTAATGTACATGTGTAGTGAATCTACAAGTTATGATGTGCCAGTCTATTTGACTATAGTTCAAGTAACAATTTCATTTTGAACAGACCTGAGTAACTACACATTGTTAATGTTTGCGCCATAATTTGGAAGCTCAGCAGTGATTGGTTTGTCTTTATCTGCCTAAGTAACCACATCAGATGGAAAAACCCAACTATCATAAATGGTTTAAGATTGAATTCCATAGTGTTACATGTAAAGTTTCTCTGATTTATATGTTTTTATCAGTTTAAAAAGCAAGGACTATCTTCAATGATATTGTCCTATAAAAGTATACCTATAAAATGCAGTACTGATAAAACACCGGTTTTGTTTTCAAATCATCTTCTCTCTGAAAATTTCTTTCTAAAATATCGTCTCGAAACAAAACCCACGCCAGTATTTATATTGTAATATTTTCAAAACATTTTCTCGCTAAAAATTAATTTCTGAAACATTTTCAGGTAATGACCATTTTCACAACATTTTCTAATTGAAAATCAATCAAAAGTATAATATCGAATAATTTTTAAGGGATTGAAAATCTGAATTTTCATAAAACCTTAAAATAGTATATAAATATATTCATAATCTATTAAATCTAATAATTCTTGATTTTAGGAGATAGATGTATGAAAATACGAAGTGATAAAGCATGTTTTATTTAAAAAAAAAAGAGTATGATTTCTTATCTACCTTCCACACATGTGACTGGAGTCGTTTTTTCTTGCCGACGAGGTCAGCTTCCTGTACATAATGGTTCCAGTAAACTGACAGGTCAGTAAGACTTCCCAGTTTGTGGAGTATGGTGGCCGAACTGTCGGCGTCCGAGTCCTCCCAGCGGTCATTGGTAGTGTGAACTGTGAAACTCTGCAGCATTGTGCCCACCGCGAAGGAATAATCCCCGTTAGTGATGGAATCTTCGTAACGAATGTGAACATTTCTAATGGTGATCTGTTGTAAAAATAACATTTTTGAGAATTTGCAAAAAACCATTACAGTATCTGTCCAGCCCTGTTTCAATTTACCAATTCTCTTGCAATACATCTGTTAAATACAAGTTGACTGGAAAAAATATTTTTTTTTTTTTTTTTTTTAACAAAAGGGATACAAACATGGAAATGGTGATTATAAGTCAAAATGCCAAGACAGATAATTGAGCTTTATGTTTTAATGATAAAATGAAGCATACAAAGTTTTAAAAAAATTGGTGGACAACCTAAACAAATCTCTTGACACAATTAATATGATGAAAAACAAAGGTCAATGACTTTTGAAAATATCATTGAATCACTATATTATTCACAAGAACACAATCTCAAGTTTTGCTTTTAAATCTGCCAAGTTTCAAGGAAGTGGGTTGAAAGCCGAGAGTGAAATATCTGGACAAGAAAAAATGGCTGGAAAATAATCAAAGGGCAATAACTCTTTCCAAAATTGTAAAATCACAATGGGAGTAATAAAAACATCTTTTCATGAAGAGGTTGTAAAGAATATCATGTTTCAGAAAAACTGGTGAAAACTGAGAAAGGATATTTCAAGAAAAAATGAAATGCTAGAAAAAGGGGCAATAACTCCTTCAAAAATGGCTAAATCAAACTGCTATGTACAAAAACACAATATCAAATTGTTTGAAAGAAATCAGTTAAAGATGAAAGAGCTCTCCAGACAAGAATGATATATGAAAACAACAATGGGCAGTAGCTCTCCCAAATATGGATGAATCAAACTGCCATATAGGAAAACACAACTTTATGTCACAGTAATTAAAAAGCCGACTAAGTTTGTAAAAGATCACTTGAAAAATATGGCATGAGATCTGTGGACAAATATAAGACTATAGGATGGACTATGCCATAGCATAACTTTGTATAACCTATTGCATGCAAAAGCATACTGTTTAATGAAATCATGATTAAATTTTCTCGACGATTCTAATTAACACAGTCTACAAAGCATTTTTATGTTTTTACCAATCAAAGCTACATCAACGGACGATATTGTATTAAAAATGTTTAAATTTTCATTATACATCTATAACCTAACCAACAGAATTTGATTGCTAGTCTGTAACAGTACTTAAATGTACTTGTGCCGATACTTAAACACAAATTAATAAGTCTTACACAACAATATCACCAACATAATGATTAAATATCTGGCTTCAGTTTATTTCATTTAGTGACATATATGCATTCAAATTATCTGGATAAATATAACATATGGCAGGTAATTTTTTTCTGTCCTTAATATTTGAGAGCTAATATTTCGTGACTTAAATTCTGGCCATTGACCATGATTTAGATACACTCAAAGTTGGCAACTTGTTGATGTTTAGAAATGTGTAATGAGATATGACTATATGAATAGACTGGTAGAAAGGTGAGTCATCATTAGATACACATGATTGAACAGATAATTGATCAGACAGTTTATCATCATATTTAAAATGTATCCACAAACAGGCAACCAGTTACACCAGTCAATATTTTTGGATACTTTCCATAGCAAAAGTAAGAATATTAACATTGAGTTGTAACAATGACTTACCTGTATGTCTGATATACTGTAACATTGAGCTGTAACAATGACTTACCTGTATGTCTGATATACTGTAACAATGACTTACCTGTATGTCCTGATATACTGTAACAATGACTTACCTGTAGGTCCTGATATATTGTAACAATGACTTACCTGTATGTCCTGATATACTGTAACAATGACTTACCTGTATATCCTGATAAACTGTAACATTGAGCTGTAACAATGACATACCTGTATGTCCTGATATACTGTAACAATGACCTACCTGTATGTCCTGATATATTGTAACAATGACTTACCTGTATATCATGATATACTGTAACAATGACTTACCTGTATATCCTGATATACTGTAACAATGACTTACCTGTTTATCCTGATATACTGTAACAATGACTTACCTGTATGTCCTGATATACTGTAACAATGACTTACCTGTATATCCTGATAAACTGTAACATTGAGCTGTAACAATGACATACCTGTATGTCCTGATATACTGTAACAATGACCTACCTGTATGTCCTGATATATTGTAACAATGACTTACCTGTATATCATGATATACTGTAACAATGACTTACCTGTATATCCTGATATACTGTAACAATGACTTACCTGTTTATCCTGATATACTGTAACAATGACTTACCTGTATGTCCTGATATACTGTAACAATGACTTACCTGTATATCCTGATATACTGTAACAATGACTTACCTGTATATCCTGATATACTGTAACAATGACTTACCTGTATATCCTGATATACTGTAACAATGACTTACCTGTATGTCTGATATATTGTAACAATGACTTACCTGTATGTCTGATATACTGTATCAATGACTTACCTGTATAGCCTGATATACTGTAACAATGACTTACCTGTATGTCTGATATACTGTAACAATGACTTACCTGTATGTCTGATATACTGTAACAATGACTTACCTGTATATCCTGATATACTGTAACAAAGACCTACCTGTATGTCCTGATATATTGTAACAATGACTTACCTGTATATCATGATATACTGTAACAATGACCTACCTGTATGTCCTGATATATTGTAACAATGACTTACCTGTATATCATGATATACTGTAACAATGACTTACCTGTATATCCTGATATACTGTAACAATGACTTACCTGTTTATCCTGATATACTGTAACAATGACTTACCTGTATGTCCTGATATACTGTAACAATGACTTACCTGTATATCCTGATATACTGTAACAATGACTTACCTGTATATCCTGATATACTGTAACAATGACTTACCTGTATATCCTGATATACTGTAACAATGACTTAACTGTATGTCTGATATATTGTAACAATGACTTACCTGTATGTCTGATATACTGTATCAATGACTTACCTGTATAGCCTGATATACTGTAACAATGACTTACCTCTATGTCTGATATACTGTAACAATGACTTACCTGTATGTCTGATATACTGTAACAATGACTTACCTGTATATCCTGATATACTGTAACAAAGACTTACCTGTATATCCTGATATACTGTAACAATGACTTACCTGTATGTCTGATATACTGTAACAATGACTTACCTGTATATCCTGATATACTGTAACAATGACATACCTGTATATACTGATATATTGTAACACTGAGCTGTAACGATGACTTACCTGTATATCATGATATACTGTAACAATGACTTACCTGTATATCCTGATATACTGTAACAATGACTTACCTGTATATCATGATATACTGTAACAATGACTTACCTGTATGTCCTGATATACTGTAACAATGACTTACCTGTATGTCTGATATATGGTAACAATGACTTACCTGTATATCATGATATACTGTAACAATGACTTACCTGTATATCCTGATATATTGTAACAATGACATACCTGTATATCCTGATATACTGTAACAATGACATACCTGTATATCCTGATATATTGTAACAATGACATACCTGTATATCCTGATATATTGTAACATTGAGCTGTAACATTGACTTACCTGTATATTGTTCAGGATGTATTTTCCTAGTTTCTCAAAGAATCCAGGATTTTTAGCAGCTTGATCAGCTAAACATCAGTAAAAGACAAAAATAAATAGTTAGAATTTCTGAGAAATACTCTTTAAAACACACACTATATAAGGTATATTTACAGCAGACTGTTTTAGCCTTGATTTGCAATAATAAAAAACTTTGAATTATATCCTGAAATTTTTGACAGTGAGTTAAAAATGAAAATTGATTTATAGTGTATTAAATGATCTATTATTTAAACATACCAACAGCTTTAAAAGTTGATTGCTCAAAAGACCGTAATTTAGCTTGTTTAATGGCATTTTCCAGATTCCTGTCCTTTTTCTCCTCATAGGGACGATCGTTGATGGGTCCTAGTAAAACATACAGACCATCCAGTTCCAGCTGGACATTGGCCGAGAACAGGTTTGACCACGGAAATGAGAACTTGATATAGTCTGCAATTAATAAAAAATATGTAAATAAAAAAAAATATAATGAATATAATTTGTGAAAATATTTAAAGCAAAATATTTAATGTTTTTACCATCACAAAATGTCAATTATCTCCCTTTTTTCTTTTTGCGTTTTATCATTGAAAACTAATTATTATCAGTCATGGCAAAAAACTTTAATCAAGAGAGCACAATTTAACCCTTGGGATTTCCAACAAAAGCAGATTAAATTCTTTTATCTATTAAACAGGTTTTTTTTATTCTTTAAACATTTTTTTTTTTAAATATGTTCATTAACTGAAAGACAATATACAGTAAAGCAGTAACAGACTTTAAAATGCCACTGTAATACTACAGTCAGTAAATATGAAATCAACCACTGTAATATAACAAGTTTACAAGTTTTTCTTTATTTTAACGGGTAATACTAATCAATTATCTCCCTTGGATCTATTTAAAGGGGGTTATCTCCCAACAGAAATCACACTGCCTTTTCAACGATGACTGCTATTTTTGGATATTTTTAAGCAGATCGAAGCCAGATGAGTTAAAATAGAAACAGCTAATTCTATTTCACTTGACCTTTATGTACTTTTTAGCAAAACCAGAGAGTTTACACCGACAATTATTATAGGAAACGTAGGCAGATCTTTGCTGAAAATCAATACTAGTTGCTCTTTAAAGTACACAACCTTAACAAATTTCATCTTCTCATCCATGTAATTCCTTTAAAAGACATTATAAATCTGCTTCCACACCAAGGTATTCTTTAAGATCAGTGCTATAAATAGGTAAGCTGGCTTATAGATATTTACAGAGGCGTATATCATGGTTATGATTTACTTTTCATAAAAAAGATTTGGCATTTATGAGAGTAATAAACGACAGCTTTGCAGACTTACACAATGTAAAACACGGGTGGTAACTTTACATAGTAAAGTCACATTAGATGTAAAACTGGAAGTGAAATTCCACACTTTTTCACTTTTTCCATTACGTAACATAATGCATTGTAACAGATAAACATGTGAAATCAGATTACTGACACTCAGGCAGAAAATGCTGACCTATACATATTTCATGAATAAGTTAGCATCACCAGTTCTAAGATAATCATGTCCTTTTGCTTTTATTTTTCTAAAATAAATTTCAAACTTTTGTGAATTACTGTATTCCACATACATAGTACACTTCCTCCTCCTATATGTTCACCACCACTTTTTTAAGAGAAAAAAAGATGGGCACGCTAGCAAAAACCTACAGTATAGACATCAAAAGACAATTGTGTTCATTTAATGCATTTAAATAAAAAAACATAATAGGGAGAATAAGGATGATATAAGGCTACATGCTCCATCATTTGTTACAATAGTCTTATGTTCAGAAATTGTCTGGTTTTTTATAAGGTTTGTTAACACTGACAAAAAAATGGCGGACTTGTATTTAATATCAATTTCTGGTCATTGAGGACAGAAAAAACTTGAAAACAAAGGTAAAAACATCTAAATTTATAGCCCTAATAAAGATGAAAACAGACATGTGGTCATTGCTTCTGCTTCCTCATGATATCTGACACGGAGAAAAATAAAATGAAACCTGCCAATTTCTTAACGGTTCAACATGTGTTTCACAAGACAATCAAATTATAATCCACATATGTTTCAAACAGGCCACTGTCTTTGCCAATCTTCTGTCTTGTTAGTTCCTATCATGCTTTTAAACACTTCATCCAGATTTTGCATCATAGTGACTCGGACAGTTTGCATGAATAAATACAGTAATTATCGTAGTTATTGTTGTTGTTTACAAATAAATTGTCAGATAATTTTTGTGTCAGTTTGAGTGTCAGATAATCCTGGCAATCAATGATAGCGGCCTCACAGAACCTTCGATTTTTTCCATGAAAATTTTTTTTTACAAAATCCTACAGCTACGTAATGTGTGAATACCCAACATTGGCCATTTATTTTCTTAGAAAACCTGCACACACTACGTGGGATAAAATGGTACATCTAATCGACAAAACCAAACAAGACTACAGTAAAATGGGTTGCAATCGAGGGGTAACCAACTTGATTCAAGTGATTACTTTCATTAAGTGGTACAGTAAACACGTTTACTGTCAATTTCTGTCATTCTATTGAACAGTGTTGCCATATTCTGCTTGATATTCCGTAAGCATGCTTCTCCTTAATTCATACAACAAACAGTAAAATAAAAGGCGACAAACCAAATGCGAAACACAACCGTAATTCATCCATTAATCTAAGCAGATTAATTTTGCCATTTGCTCTGTAAAGCATCATACACTGAAGACTTCCAAACAATCACTTGTGGATAGAAGAGGTAAATTTCAAATTAGAATGGAAAGGGTAAAATGCACCCATTTTGTATTTTAGCGAGCACACAATGTGATAATTAAACAAGAGGCCCATGGGCCTTAACGGTCATCTGACAAAAAGCAAGCCAAACCTAGAAAGTGGGTTGAGGTCATTCATTTGAACAAACTTGGTAGCCTCTCCTCCAAGCATCTTACAGGCCCAATATCAGCACTCATGGACTTTTGCTTGTTGAGAAGAAGTCGTTTGTATATTTTAACATATTTGACCCCTGTGACCTTGAAAGTGGGTTGAGGTCATTCATTTGAATAAACTTGGTAGCCTTTCCTCCCAGCATGCTACAGACCCAATATCAGCACTCATAGACTTTTGCTTATTGAGATGAAGTCCTTTGTATATTTTAACATATTTGACCCCTGTGACCTTGAAAGTGGGCCAAGGTCATTCATTTGAACAAACTTTGTAGGGCTCCATGCCAGCATGCTATGGGCCAAGTATTAGCCCCCTAGGCCTTCTAGTATTTGAGAAGAAGTTATTTAAAGATTTTGACATATTTGACCCCTGCGACCTTGAAAGTTGTTCAAGGTCATTCATTTAAATAAACTTGGTAGCCTTTCCTCCCAGCATGCTACAGACCCAATATCGGCACTCATAGACTTTTGCTTATTGAGATGAAGTACTTTGTATATTTTAACATATTTGACCCCTGTGACCTTGAAAGTGGGCCAAGGTCATTCATTTGAACAAACTTTGTAGGGCTCCATGCCAGCATGCTATGGGCCAAGTATTAGCCCCCTAGGCCTTCTAGTATTTGAGAAGAAGTTATTTAAAGATTTTGACATATTTGACCCCTGTGACCTTGAAAGTTGTTCAAGGTCATTCATTTAAACAAACTTGATAGCCCTTCATCCCAGCATGCCACAGGCACAATATCAGCAATCTGAGCCTTTTGGTTATTGAGAAGAAGTTGTTTAAAGATTTTAACATATTTGACCCCTGTGACCTTTAAAGTGGGTCAAGGTCATTCATTTGAACAAACTTGGTAGTCCTTCATCCCAGCATGTCACAGGCCCAATATCTACACTCTGAGCCTTTTGGTTAATGAGAAGAAGTTGTTTAAAGATTTTAACATATTTGACCCCTGTGACCTTTAAAGTGGGTCAAGGTCATTCATTTGAACAAACTTGGTAGAGCTCCATGCCAGTATCCTCTGTGCCAAGTATTAGCCCCCTAGACCTTCTAGTATTTGAGAAGAAGTCGTTTGAATGAAAAGTTTACGGACGGCGCACGGCGCACGGCGCACGACGACGGACAAAGCATGATGACTATAGGTCATCGGACCCTTCGGGTCAGATGACCTAAAAAGATACATAGATATCATTATTTGCTTAATCATGATAATTATTTTTCACTTCAAGCAGGGTACAATTTCTTTAAATCTTAATAAAATTCTCAATATTTTTGTAGGATTGCATTAACAAACCTGACAAAATTCAATGATAAACTCTAAAAATATGAATTGTTCTACTTAAACAACGATAATGTAGTTGACCCAAAAATAAATGTTGATCTTAAAACAAATAAAAATGTACCTTGTAGCCTTAACAAACAGCATCATCATTTACGAAAAAATATTGGTGATTTAATTACAACACCTTGCCATAAATTAAAAAAAAATATTTTGCAGTTAATACATGAAGGCTACAGGACCAGCATTTTATTAGTGTGCTGACTGTGCAGATACTGAGATGCAGGTGCTTGTTGTATTCTTTTTTCACATCATACCGGTATTTATCATTCAAAGTCGTAAACTTTCATTAACAGTTTACAAGCAAGGTCAACATTAGACAGTTTTTGAACAAAACAAGTTTTTTTTTTAATTTTTTTTTTTTTTTTTGCCATGAACCCAATAAATCTGAAATTACACTTAAACACAGATTACAGAATTTCTGTTTTCAGGAAAACTTTAATAAGATCCTGTACTTAGCACACCCTTTTTCCAATTGGATTCTGTGAAACAAGGAAACCACGCAACAGATTTTCATTTTAAATATTTTCTGTTGATCTATGTATATAAAACATACATATAATTGATAATACGTCTATTCCATAAAAGTATGAAATCTATGCTTATATTTGTATTGAAAAGAATAGTATTCTGTGTACTACTTGAATGTTTTTTATGAATCATCAAACATGACCTCGGACTCTCCGTAGTTCTTGATCTGCCCTGAGTGATTGTCATCACTTCTTATCAGATTTATTTCACAGAAATGATTAGATAATTGACACAAAATTCACACGATCTAAATTTGAAGCTCTCCTGAAAACTGAATGTCAGATCATTGAAAATAAACTTTTTCAAGAATTCATGGTAAAAATTGAAAATTATGCTTTCCTAATGCAAAGCTGAATGTTAGGTCATATTTATCCAGATGTGAGGTCATTGGAAACATAATTTTCCTAGCTGTGTGGTCATTGGAAATCAAACTGACGATTGAGGAATGTTTCAATACCTACCACATGATGTAATGTGTTAAATATATCTTGTCAATGCAATATCGTAACACAAGAATTTCTGGAAGATAAAACCTTTTGTTCTATACATACTTAGTACACAACTTATAATATAGGTATCAGATTTCCTACTTTTGTAAAACTGTC